AAAAAGGATTTCGCAGTTCACATGTCTATGAGTAAAGAGATGCCAATATTAAAATTACTGAATTGTCTATTTATTTAACACCAAATGGACAGAATAACAAATGATGGACTAAATCGATCAAAAACACAAAAGTCCGGGACTAAATTGAGCGAAACACAAAAGTCTGGGACGATATTAGGTCACCAAAGTCCTTTAGGACGAAATTGAAAAAAACCACTATAGTCGATGACGATTTTGGGTATTAACTCTTTAACTAATTTCCATGCATCATTTTCTTACCAAATAAAAATTACTATTACTTTGACAAGTAAAATAAGTTTGGGATGGAAATAATATAGAAGGGGATTTTACTTATATATATATATATATATATATATATATATATATATATATATATATATATATATATATATTAATTTGCCATAATACCAATTATTTTATATTATGGTATACGTGAATAAACTCTTTCATATTGCCTTCAGATTGCATACGTTACTATTTGTTCTTAATTATGATATTGCATAATTATGGTACATTTTCATTAAAAATGTACTTACCAAATAAGATTTATTAATTACTATTATTTGCACCCGTGCGATGCACGGAATAGATTTGTTGTAATATATTAAAAATATATGAATCGATATATAATTATTTAAATTAGAACATCAAATATTATATAATGCAATTAAAGATATGATTTGAATCGTTTATATATTTTGATGTTATCATTGCTTGAATTTGTGCAAATAATTGCTCAAATTAATAGTTAATGTCTAGATATACGCATGCGGTCCTATAATTTTGAAGATTTTATTTATCATTATTTAGTATTTTCATAAATTAGGCAAATGTGTTCGTTCTCTAACAACTCAGTTATGGAAATGAATTGCTATCCTTATTCATTTGTATGGAAGATATATTTTTTTGTCTAGATATATAGCAATTTTTTTATTTAAAAATAAATAAATATCACCGATTATATTTACACATTAATGAAACCTCTTTGTAGACGACATTGATAGTGACAACACAATCTTGTTCATCTTCGTTTAGAGCTAACATCTTCTCCATCAGGACGGGTTACTTGGATGAAAATATATAATGGTAGAATATCACTCAATTAGTTATCCTTTTATATTTTCAGTCAATTCGTAATATCATATTCATTTTCAGCCAATTATTATTTTTTTTAATTTTCAGTCAATTAGTCAATTAGAATATCAAATGTAGTGATATTTTTACCTAACTTTCGTTCCATTTTTAATTGATGATGTAGATATTATTATTGAAATATTTTCGTTCCATTTTTAATTTACCTTTACTATTGTTTAAAATATGCATCTACTATTGATAATGTAGAATATTATTATTGGAATATTTTTTCTCCAATTTTTAATTTTCATTCCATTTTTAATTAAAATGCAATGATCTGACCATTTTTTAGTCAATTATAGATCATTTTTTATTTGCAGTCAATTATTAATATTCATTTCCTTTTATATTTTCAGTCAATTAGTAATATTAGATTCATTTTCAGTCAATTATTCTTTTTTATTTCCAATCAATTAGTCAATTAGAATATAGACGCAGTGATATATTTTTACCTAATTTTCGTTCCATTTTAATTTGATGATGTAGAATATTATTAATGTAATATTTTCGTTCCATTTTTAATTTATCTTTACTATTTTTTATAATATGTCTTTACTATTTGATGATGTAAAATATTTCATTTCCATTTTTAATCTTCCTTTACTTCTAACTACACACACACACACACACACACACACACACACACACACACACACACACACACACACACAAAAGAAGAAGAAGAGACTTTGGACTTCTCAATACTTGCTTACATTGATTTGTTTTCCCACCGTCGGACATGGTGACTAATCCCCTCGATGAATTGTAAGCACCTCTTTTGGGTGGGATAACTGGCTTAGAGATTTAAGGCTGATCCATTCCCAAATCCAATGATCGAACCCTTGACCTTTGGTTAAGGATGGATGAGTCACTTACACTCAACCACACCCTCCAGGTTACTTGCCTACATTGATGGGCAATCAATTATGTTTGTAAGAGGAACAACTTATATAGAGGAGCTCAAGAGCTCATCTTTCCAAACATTTTCAATGTGAGATCAAAATGATCCCACATCATTTACAAAGCGAGCCCGTGACTCCCTTTTGTCTTTTTCTTATTTTTTTAAAAATTTTAATTTTATTTTGTATATTGTTTTGTTTTGTTTACTATTATTATTATTATTATTATTATTATTATTATTATTATTATTATTATTGACAAATTCACTATTTTAACAATTTATCTTTAATCAAAACACCAAAAATATATTATTTAATAACTAAGTAATTTGCTCCAAGCTACTAAAAACTAAAACAATACATACATTTTGGGTCAATCTTTCCTAACCCCCACTAATAAATAATAAATAATAAATAATAAATAATAAATAAATTAAACTAAAATAAGAAGGCAAAGCTAAGGTTACTTAAATAAGAACGTTTTGACTTCTCAATACTTGCCACATCGATGGGCAAACAATTATGTTTGTACTTCTTATATAAAGGAGTTCAAGAGCTCATCTTTTCAAGCATTTTCAATGTGGGATGAAAATGAACCGACATCATTTATAAAGGGAGCATGTGGCTCCCCTTTGTTTTTTTTTTTTTTTTTTTTTTTTTGTTAATTTTAATTTTATTATGTATATAGTTTTGTTTGGATTATTATTATTATTATTAGTATTAGTATTGTTGTTGTTGTTGTTTTGTTGTAATTTGATTATTTGGCAAATTCACAAAAATTTTAAGAAATTCGTCTGTTTAATATTTTATATTTAAACACAAAACTAAAAATATTATTTAATAACTTAGCAATTTACTCCAAATTGCTAAAAACTAAAACAACACATACATTTTGGGTTAATCTTTCCAAACCCCACTAATAATAAATAATAAATAAATAATAAATAAAAAGACTGTTTGTAAAGTGTTTGATCCTTGTAATTTGAGAAAATCAGAGTGTTTCCATATATGCTAATGTCACATCCTCCATATTCCTAAGCCATAGTCCCGACTGACTGCATAGCCTTTCGGTGTGATATCCGTCGACGAATCCCTCGATTTTTCCGCTTCCTTCACGATAGCTCCTCGTCCGGACTCTGTTGGCCGAGATTCGAGCCAGATGAGGTGGCTTAGTGGATCGGCAGCTCCCTCTTAGTGGAGCCAGAGACGACGTCTTGAATGAGGAAGGGGGAAGGGATGAAAGGACGAATTTGCCCCTTATATTTAAGTTTAATTGTTAATTGTTAACTTAAAATTTTCCGGGTCGCAATTAACCAGTAATTTGACCAGCGTGACAAAAATTGATAAAAATTACACAGTCAAGGTACTAAATTAACACTTTTGAAAGTCAGGGGTTGCAATTAACACAAGTTCAATAATCAGTGGACCAAAATTGAAATTTACTCTAAATATATATATATATATATATATATATATATATATATATATATATATAATTGCACTTTTGGTCCCACAAGTATTATGTCACTAACAGTGTTGATCAACTACTTTCAAGAATTGCATAAGTGGCCCACGATTATCATTTTCTTAGCATAAATGGTATTTCTGGTTGATTCTCCATCCATTTTTTGCCAGAATAAATAGTTTGATCTTTATAGTAGGGGTAAAATTGTATTTTCCTTTATTGCCACTATTTCTCTCATCTTTATCTCCATCATTTTTTTTTCCTTAAAAATTGTTCTTCACGATCGTCATCTTTTTCCTTGTGGTCTTCGTTTATTTTTTTTTATTCATCTTCATCGTTAATTTCCTAGTCTGGCAGCCACATGAAGCGCAGTGTATCCTTGCACATTACGACGATCGCGATCAACCAGGCCAAGGCTGGGACTTCATTAACAGATTAATTTTAGGAGTATAGTATCGCAGGCTGCTGCAAAGTGCATGGCACAAACATAATCTTGTGTGATGTTTGATTCCTCTAGAAGTAATTTAACCAGTTTAATATCATTAGAATCTAGAGTGTTCATGATATTCCTAGGTCAATTCTCTTTTCTTTCACAAAATCCACCACTGGGTAGTCCTACTTGCTCTTATCTCACTCGGAACTTCATAAGGAAGCTAGCTTTTCTTCAAGCGTGAAGTCGTATATGTTTATCGTGTGATTCTCTGGACACATTGGTCTAGTACGTATTTGGGTAAGCAAGTAATGAAAGGCACCCAAAAGTATAAGAATAACATCATCTATCATCCACAAGAGCCTTATCGAGAAAGCTAAATAGATGTCGTTGCAAGAAATGCAGTCAGATGTCAAAAATCTTAATCAAAGTTTAATTAAATGAATTATAGCATTAGAGAGAAAGTGCATTATATTGTCATTGTATTAAGCATATGTTTCTTTATCACGACTATTTTTATTGGTTGAATCTGTGAGAAAATTGAGATTCGCTCTAAGTACAACCTTTGCATAATCATATTCAGCATCTATCTGTCAAGATATTTTTCAGACCACTACTTAGCTCATTCAAACTTAGAAACTCAACACTCCATGGATCATGTGGTTGCCTGGCGCAAGGATTTGTTTATTATAGTATAAGATTAACGATGAAGACGAAAAAAAAAAAAAAATAAAGGAAGACCACGAGGAAGAAGATGAAGATCGAGTAGAACATTGGTTGAGAAAAATGAAAAAGATAAAGGTGGTAGAAATATTAGTGGCTGGAAATGACCATTTTATTCTTGCCATCAAGAGCAAAATATTTATTCTAGTGAAAAATGGATAGACAATTACCTGGAAAAACTATTTACGCTAAGAAAATAATAGTCATGGACCATTTATACAAATTTTGAAAGTAATAGATCAACATATTTAGTAACACAATTCTCGTGAGACTAAAAGTGCAAAAACTCTAAAAATATGCGTTCGGTAATACAAAAGGACCAGTAAAAGTCAAAATTCCTTATTTCGGTTTCCTGCTTTCCTCTTTCTCCGACCCGGACAACGTGCGGAACTGCGGACAGCGGTGAAGCCGTGGAGTGACGACGTGAGCCAGACCGACAGTGGACTGGGGACGGCTGAGCTGAGGTAGGTCTTCTAATTTCTTTTCTCTGAGCGTGTAGTCAGTAGTTCTTCTACTGTATTTTGCATATTACGACTCGCGACCTGCGGCTGTGGGTTGTGGCCTCCGGCTGCGATATGTGGGTTGCGGCCTCCGGCGGAGAGCTTTGGGTTGCGGCCTGTGGCCTCAGGCCGTGTGATTTCAAGTCAACCAATAGAAAGTAACAACTCTATTGATGAACAAGAATTCAGTGTTGAATAGGAAGGCATTATGTTAAAGCCTTGATTGATCTTGGTGACTTGGTGTCATTTTAGACATTGTTATGATGTAGTAGTTCATTTGGTTGGTTTTGATTCTAGACATTGCATTGGACCTTGTGTTGGTTGGTGACTTAGTGTCAGTGTTTAACTTGTGTTGTAAGGTTTTTATATTTTGGACTTTATGGATTTGTGGTTATGGGTTGTTTTCATGTGAATTAACATGTCAGGGGTAATATGTTTTATTGTCAAGACTTATTTTGTTGTTGGCTTTGAAGCCATTTTAATGGCCTACATATTAAATAGTCCTTTACAAAGGATTAATGTTAGGCTAGATTTATTGTAGGCTCAGGCTTGAGCCTTAAAAAAAAGCCTTAGGTTTCCATAACAAGCACAAGCCTAATTTGTTATGGCTTGACTTGGCCTAGTTCCACCCATAGATATAAATTACGAAGAGTGGTAGGGTATGACCCACATTGGATCAAGTATCTAGGTGGTCACTAATTTGGCTTTCTTCTTCATCATTGTTATGCAAAACTCTATTTCTAAGGACTAATTGCTTGTTGCTTATACTATTATTACTGATGGGTAGGAGTACTTTCAGGTGCGGCCTAGTCTCTGTCCAAGGAGAGGAAGGCATATATTAGGGGAAATTCAAGATCCATGGTGAAGGAGACAGAGTACTATGATGTTCTAGGCGTAAGCCCTATGGCTACTGAAGCCCAAATTAAAAAGGCTTATTATATTAAGGTATTAGTGTGCAATTCTAGCTGCTCCCTCACTTGCATTTATTTTGATGTCGGTTACTATTTTTAGTTGTGCGCTAACATCCGCAGATGCAGTTTGATTGTAACATTATATCTTCGTTTTATTACCCTGTCTTAATTTACGTATTTGGTTTGAGGAGGGTCGGGGTTCTTTGGAGTTGAAATGAAGTAATCAAGGAAGTGATATGCCAATGCTTTGCAACTTTTTGTCTCTTGTTCCAATAACTCTTAATTGAAGCTTAAACAATTATAATAGACATTGATCATGAAATTACTTTAGGGTATTGGTGAGGTTATGCGTTCATTTGGAACATATTTCTCTCTCTCTATCATATATATGCAAGGTTGCAGAAGAGGCTAGTCGGGCATTCAAGGTGTGCCTAGGCGGCAGAGTAAAAAATAAAAACAAAAACAATAAGGTCCAGCCGTGCTCTATACCATCCACAGGTTTTAGTGTCGCCAAGTCGCCATTGCCCATTGTCCAAAGCTTCCAACCGTTTTGTCGCCCTCACCACAGCCATCTAGCCTGGAGGTTTGCGAATTTGCTTTTGCAAAGGAGTACTTTGGCAGATTAAAAAAAAAAAAATATATATATATATATATATATATATATATATATATATATATATATAAAATTTTAGCTGTTTAGGGATTTTTTATTTTGGGGACATTTCGAAATTGTGTTGTTTTGATCAAAATGATGTTGTTTTGAGCGAAACAAACCATTTAAAAAAAAAAAAAAAACTCAGCCGAGTTGGGCGCTTAGTCGGCTTAATTCCTTGCCTCGAGCAGAAACCAAACAACTTAGTTACTTACACACCTACAAGTATATTGCAGGTCGCCATATTATGTACCCGACTCTCTTTACCATTTTCAGCAGTTCAAATAAAGGGAGTTCAACTAGGATTAGAGTTTTGATATGTTGATTTGAGTATCTGGCCTGGTATATGTTGCTGTTTCATTCTTAGTCAGAGGTCTAGGAGAGAGACCATCTGGTTGCCGCATTTTCCTTGGGCTAAATTGTTTCTTTTACTTATATATGCTATTTGCCTGTTTTCCCTTTGAGTAACAACAGAGCTCACCACAATAGGGTTCATTGTACTATCCCTAGTATGTAAAAGCTTCCATGAGCTAAGTTGTTTCTTGGGTTCTAATTCAACTAAAAGAATTATAGACCATGATGTTTAGATTACTAGTCTACAACCAATTTAATTTTGTCCAAAGAAATTGTTACAACTTACAAGGTTGTTACATGTTGATGAGATAGTTTCTGAAGTGATTTAGACCTTAGCTCTTAAAATGGAGCAATGGCGATTTGTCAGATTATTAACTGTTTCTCCTTCTTTGTGAGACAAATCAATCCACTCAATTACTAGTCTAGGTCAATGTCACCTTCCTGGACTTTCTATCTTGAATTGTTTTCCCTAGACCTTGTGCTTAGTTTGCTGAAATAAGTATTCACCTTCTCTTTTTTAATATGGGGTGGTGTGCCCTTACAAGATTTTATAGTAGTATATTGAGGTTGAAGGATAGTTTGTGCTGAGTTAATGCTCTTTTTGTTTAATATCAATCTCAAGTGCCACTTTAGTGCCTTACTATGCTTTGGGAATTTTATGCACATTCCTGTTGTGGAGGAATTCATAATAATCCAATTTCTTGGGGTGAACTTTTCTGTGATAATACTTAAAAGCCTACAAGTCCTCTAAGAAGCAGCCCATGCAAGAATGCTTCTACCCAACTATAAGTAGCTAGTTAACAATCTGATATCCACAGACAAAGGGTGCATTTGGATGAATTGCGGTTGTAGTGGTTCATTTCTCCAATTTTGGAAGTTTCAACTTTAGGGCTAAGGATTTGGTGGGAGTGGTGTGTGATTGGAGCAGTCTAAGTACTTCAATCTCAGTCATTGCTCTAGTCATTCCAATGCCACCATTCTCCCAAAGGTTGCCTAATAAGAGCTATGCACTAACATTATAAAATATAGAAAGACTTCTTGCTCTTCTGATTCTTACTACTTGGGTTGGGTGTGTTTCCGTACTTTCAGTAAAATAAATTTGGCGGAAAAGTTTATAGATTTGTATTTTTACTTTTCCATACAGTTTTGTGGGCATAACAAGCACAAGAGGATTGTGGGCATACTTGTTGGTTGGTTTACTTTTTCATATTAGCTTGCAGTCTTAATAGAAATTTTATGTTGAATATACTATACCTATATATGACTAGGGCTGTTAACGAACCGAACATAAACGAACGAAGGTTGTTCGTGTTCGTTTGTTAAGGAATTTGGAGTGTTCGTGTTCGTGTTCGTTTGTTAAGGTTTTTGAAAATCCTGTTCGTGTTCGTTTGTTAAGCGTTCATTAGTGTTTGTTAACGTTCGCGAACGTGTTTGTTAACGTTCGTGAACACATTCGCAAACGTGTTCGTTAACCTTAACAAACACGTTCACAAACATGTTCATTAACAAGTACGTTCACGAACATATTTATTTACGTTCATGAACACTTAATAAACAAACACCTGCACATGTTCATGATCACAATTCGTTCGTGAACAATAAATAATCTACGTTCACGAACAATAATCAAACAAACAATACAACTACATAACTAATATAATATAATATATATGTTTGTGAACATGTTCGCGAACATTATTAAACGAACATAAACAAGCTTGTTCACGAACATTAGTAAACGAACACAAACGAGCTTGTTCACGATCTCTTAGCAAACGAGCTTACAACTGTTCAAGCTCTGTTCGTTTATTAACCGAGCTCTAAATTTTGTTTGTTAATGTTCGTTTATCTTAACAAACGAACATAAACGAACGCTTACCCGAACACGAACACGAGTAGTTTGTCGAAAGCTCTGTTCGCTAACACCCCTATATATGACTTAACGAACATTGTTTTTGTTCTCTGTAAGCAACAATTATCTCCCTCTTCATATTTTTTATTTCAGTTTTTTTTTTTTTTTTTTTTTTTTTTGGGTGCCGTTTAGGCAAGAGGTTCATCCATAAAACCCAAATGATCTTACATGTGTTGTTTTGCATGGTTTAGGCACGACAGGTTCATCCAGATAAAAATCCTAATGATCCTCTAGCAGCACAAAATTTTCAGGTGAGATTTCCATCTGGCTAGCATCCAACTTTGTATGTATGTATGTGTGTGTGTGTGTGTTTTTTTTTTTTTTTTTTGTTGCCCTTTCTTCCTCACATAAATTATTTTCAATTGGAAACTGCATATTTCACTCTCTTTGGTAGTAGTTTGTACAAGGAAAAATGGTGCAAATGTTCACAAATAATTATGATTCAACATGGCTCCATTACATTAGTCATTAGTGTTCTTTTATGTAGAAAAAGAAAGCAAAAAAGTTGCCATCTGTTTTTTGTCATTGCAGGTTTTGGGTGAGGCTTACCAAGTACTGAGTGATCCAGCCCAACGACAAGCTTATGATGCTTATGGGAAATCCGGAATTTCAACGTACTGTTCTTCTTATATGTTTGATTGGTTTGAATGTTTTAAACATATATTCTCAAAGGTATTTTTGGTTACCATGCTTAATTTAAGTTCCAACTTACACTAAGAGTTGTGTGTTTTGATATTAATTGCAGGGAGGCAATCATTGATCCTGCAGCAATCTTTGCTATGCTTTTTGGGAGTGAACTTTTTGAGGATTACATTGGACAGCTTGCCATGGCATCAATGGCTTCACTAGACATATTCACGGATGGCGAGGAATTTGATGCTAAAAAGCTGCAAGAGAAGATGAGGGTATAGTATCTAATCCCTTTTAGATTGGAAAATGCTATTTTCCCCTCCTAAATTTTCCCTCATATCTTTCCCCTCCTGATGTGGCTTCCATTCATTGGGTGCCCATGAATTGGCCGACTCCACCATTAGTTAAAAAGAAAGTTAGTTATCCAATTAGAAAATGCCATGTGGAAGATTGGAGGGGAAATATAAGAGGGGTGAGTGGCATTACTCTTTTAGATTATACTGTTTGCTGATTTGTAAATTAAGTTTGAACTTATGGTAGCAAACTATGAATATACTTTCAACTTTTGAGGACTACTATATCTATTGTAATGTTTACATGTCTTGGGCAATAGAACAGTCATTGAAGAATAAAATATCACACCTGTTATTATTATTCCTTCATGTAGAGGTACTCTCTAATGATTTTTTTTTTTTTTTTTTTTTTTTTTTGTGTGTGTGTGTGTGGGGGGTGGGGGTATAGTTGTCTCTCACTATTTCAATATAGCTTTAGCATTGCAGCCCTACTTGCAAGTGACATCCTCTCTATTTCACACGTCCTCAATGCCTAACATCCTTTTCACACTTAGGTGGGGGTATAGGAAGAAGAAAGGTGTATTTGTCTCTAATTTATCCCTTATTTGTTGTTAGGGAAATCAAGGGAAGAAAGGGCTTAGGGAAGCTTCTAACTATTCAAATATAGAAATCCTAGGGCGTAACCTTAGGTGTAACCCTCGGGTTAGCCCATTATGTAACACATAATATTCTTTATATAAAGGAAAGTATGTCTCTATTTAACAAATTAACATGACATCAAATTTGGTGAACATTAGGGCAGTTGCACACAAATATAAATGATAAAGAAAAACAAAACACCCACCCAGCTTAACACCTCAGTTAATAAACTAGTAACTTGTTTTTAGTTGGAACGTTTCCTACTAAGGTACTTTTGATGACACTTATCTCCAAAATACTATTATTTCACTAAGCTATTTACATTACTGTTAACCCATGGCCTCAAGGTTGAGCCACGCAGTCATGGTTCATTTGGTATGGCTGAATTTTGTAGAATCTTTAACACTGTTAGATGATTGTGCATATTAATTGTAGTGGACTAATTGAAACGTTGGTTGCATTAATTTCTTCAGTGACCTTTCTTTTCATTTAAAATGTGTCTATTTTTCTCTAATATGTTAATGGATTATTTTTCCTCTGTAATTCAAGGTTGTTCAAAGAGAAAGAGAGGAAAAACTTGCTGAAATACTAAAAAATCGACTGAACGTATATGTACAAGGAAGTAAGGAGGAATTTAGGGCTCATGCTGAAGCTGAAGTGTCACGGCTTTCCAATGCAGGTTATGTGCTATGTATTATTTCTTCCAACTTGTTTTGACTTCTTCCATTATTCACATGATTAGGAATAATATGGGCGACAATTTCATTACTAGAAGAAACTGCTAACTTACGCCATGTTAAGGAGTGAAGGACAGAAAACAGGTTGTCTAGTTCTTCTAAGCGTAAAGCATCCTCAAGCTTTTTACATCTATGAGGAACTTATTTATACAAATTCTGTTTTGCCATATCTTTTCAAAGAAAAAGTTAATCAACTCACTAGATCTATGGAAAAGGTTGATGAAACTTTTTTTTTTTTTTTTTTTTTTTTTCTGTGATCTCTTTGGAATGGGCAATTGTTGCACAAGTCCTTTGGGCATTGAGATAAATCTTCACACAAAACTCAAATGTTATCCTTCATTTGTTGCAAAAAAGCAGTTAGGAATCTGGGAATAAGTTTATGCTTTCCTTGCAGACAAGTCATAGCAGTGTTCAAGTTCTTTATGAATAAGACAAAAAACAAGACTTCTCTTTCTCGCCAAACTTTCTTTTCTAATTCCCTCTAGAAATCCTCTATCGATATCATCTTCTTGGGGTTTCAATAAACTTTGCTTCACCTATGATAGCCCCTCTCCCCTTCTCTTTAGCTCTCTCTCTCTCTCTCAATCAATAATTTTATTTTATTTTTTTATAAATCTTCAACTTTTGGTTTTGTAAAGTTGTATAAGGGGTTGCCACTCTTTATATAGTTGTCATTGGTTTTATATTGCATGAGATAGGGTATCACTTTTTGTGATTTGTGGGCAGAACTATTGGTCAATGTTTTCGAGTTGGACTGAGGAAGAGAAGTTTTAGCTACTAGGGGGTTCTTAAATTTGTGCTACATTGGGTGGTAGAAGTGTTGGGTGGTTTCAAGTTGGATTGATGAACTATGGGGTGTCATCAATTCTCTGGTATATGCTCATTGGATATTGCATTGCATGATTTTTTGGCGTAGTGCTTGAGGGTTGAGAGATGGTGTTTGAGGATCATCAAGCTAAAGTGGGGTGGATTGGGGCTATACTGGTGTGAAAAGCATTTGGGAGACTTTTGTGGTAGCAATAATAGTGGTGCCTGTTGAACAACAAAAGGGTTATGTCTATCTATATTCTATAGGGTTGTGTTTGTTTATGAATAGGTGTGTGTCTGTATATATGTATGTACTATGTTTCTTCATTAGAAGCATAGAATTATAGTAATATATTGTAATCTTTGAGTATTATATACATTTTCTTATTCTTTGATTCTTCATCTCTGCTTCCGCCTTATTGGCGGGTGGTTGTTATTCTCTACCCTCCAGACTTTGAATCTTTCAAATTCAACAGTGCCAATGATTGTGGCAACAGTGGCAGGGGATGTTGCTTGCTTTTAGGGGAGGTAGGGTTTCACCAGAGTGGAGTTAGTGTTGAGGAATTAAGCTTTTTTAGTTTTAGGGTTTAGGGTGGGAATGCCACATTTATTGGGTCGATGTGTTGGATTTTGATGGGCTTTCTGTGTTTTCAATTTGGGATCCTTTCTATCCCCCTGTACAAGTATTTGTAGTAAGTGCATTCTATAAACTTGGGGCCTTTTGATAAGTTTACTTGCCTATTAAAAAATAATAAAAATAAATCTTACAGTGTATGTATGTATATAGTTGAAATTACAAGCCAATGTAAAGAAAATTTAAAAAATAAATCTTACAGTGTATAAGTTGACCGTATTGCTACATAAAACATGAAATACACACACACATGTCTTGGTGTTTGTCTATGTATGTATATAGTTGAAATTACACGCCAATGTAAAAAAAATTACTAAGTTAATACTAACTTACTAAGAATATGGAAAACTACCAAGCTACTACTGCTGCAAGTACAAAATGAAATACTTGAAAAACATAACAGTAGTGCTGCTAGGAGTGAATGATTGGCTTGCTTTCTAATTGCATGTCTGGAAGAATTAAAGTGGAAATGTCAAGTTGGTTTTCTCAAAAAAAATACATCCTTAGGGGTTGTTTACTAACATGGAAAAATGGAGAATTTTCTAAAAAAATTGAGAATTGAAGAAGTGGAGGAATGGAAAATGGAAAACTTGTTTACTAAAATAATATCTCCAATTGCCTAACTCCTCTCCATTCTCCAACTTCATGTACAAATTTGGAGAAAGCCTTTTCAGACTTCTCCAATTGGAAGAATGGAGAAAATGCGGATGAACAGTAATCTTTGCGGAAGGTCGACAGTTCGAATCCAGCTGTCTGCGCTTGTTGTAGTTTCTGTCCTTACTTCAATTTTAGCTTGTTTCAGTTTTTGTCTTTACCTCAGCCTTGCGCCATCATTATTAATTATTATTATTATTATTATTATTATTATTATTATCTTTTATTTATTTATTTATTTATTATTATTATTATTATTATCATCTTTAATAATAATAATAATATTATTATTATTATTATTATTATTATTATTATTATTATTATTATCATCATCTTTTTTGTAGAAATGTAGAAATGTTATATGGGATGATTGTATTTAATAAAATAAAAAAATTAGAGAAATTAAGAACTAGAGGAACGGAGAATGAAAATTGAAAAATTGGAGAAATGGAAAACTGGAAAAATGGAGAAGGAAAACTGGAGAAATGGAGAAATGGAAAACTGAAAATGGAAAAACAGAGAAACGAAGTAAACGACCCCTTAGTTTCTTGGATTCTCAATCAGCCGACTCTTTCCCTCCCTCTCTTTATCTTCCCTTCATGATATCAAGCTTACTATCTTGATTTACTGATGTTGAGTTGTCATTGGTGATATTCATCACAGCTTACGGTGTTGATATGCTAAATACCATTGGCTACATATACACAAGGCAGGCAGCTAAAGAACTTGGAAAAAAAGCTATATATTTGGGAGTGCCATTTATTGCTGAGTGGTTCAGAAACAAAGGCCACTTTATCAAGTCACAAGTCACCGCAGCGACAGGTTTGTTGTAGTGCTTTATCTTATTATAGCTTTGCTTTTGGGCATTGTCTCTGTTACATGAAAATAAATTTTCCCAGTATTTTCTAAATTACTTAATTGTGCAAAGCCGCCACTACTTTTGGAAATGGTGCCTCTATATTATTCAAATCCAGGTGCTCTTAACAGTTTGGAAATCATGGGCATTCAAATTAGTGTTAGTTCTGTTGTTTGCCATTTTCAATATTGATGTTGGACTCAGTTAGTAAAAATGTGGGACTATAGTATGATACAATACAGATCCTGGGCTGCCAATCGGCTAAAATTGATTGGGAATCAATTTAGTTATTTTATTTCCTAGTTTATTAGTAGTTGCCTTTTTTTACTTTAAGTAAGCATATTTTAGAGTATTGTTTCCTTATGTCTTAAGCTTTTAACTCCTATATACATGGAGAATATTAGATTGTCTTAGTAAGTTGGAATTTGAATAAAATCAAAAGGGAAGTTTCTTCCTCCAACTTCTCCCTAACTCTCTGTTCATATTCCTCAAGCTTCTCTTTATCTCCACCATAGGTAGAGATAAATCTTCCTCCTCTTCTTCTCCTTCAACATATTATGTTCACGGGTTTGGCTTCGTGTTATGGGCCTATGCAACACTGAAGGAGAAGAAGAGGTTGAAGATTTATCTCTACCTATGGTGGAGATAAAGAGAAGCTTGAGGAATATGAACAGAGAGTTGGAGGAAGAAGCTTCCCTTTTGATTTTATTCAAATTCCAACTTACTAGAGCAATCTAATATTCTCCCTATATATAGGAGTTAAAAGCTTAAGACATAAGGAAACAATATTCTAAAATATGCTTACTTAAAGTAAAAAGGGCAACTACTAATAAACTAGGAAATAAGATAACTAAATTGATTCCCAATCAATTGGTAGCCCAGGATCTGTATTGTGTCATAGTAGAGCCTCAAACGAAAGTTTTTATTGGTGAAATTAGGTTCTAGTTCTGGACTTTGAGATCAAAGACTATTTTTGATAAAAGGTTGATTTGAAGCTGTGATGTAAAAGTTGTCCCTTAGATATGTATATATGTAGGTCTAGTTGTGTGAATGTGATATTCCCCCTTCCAGTCGATCATTATTCATTAGGAATGGAAATTCCAGGTAAGTGGTAAATGCTGATTTTATATATTGTTCGTTTATATATATATATATATAGGGGCAGGATCAAATGAGAATAGGGTCCTCCTGTAAAAAGTGAAGATTGATTTTAATTGCCTATCAAAGTTCATCAATAGTTGAGGGTTTTAGTAAAAAAAATGCGGGGTCAATTTTATAATTGTTGAAAATTTTAAGAGCATGGTTCATTTTATAATTATTGCAAACTTGAAAGTTTAGGAATGGTAAGATCCTAGCCTTTGATTTCTCAAGATGGAAGGTGTGGTTGTGTACTTGTGTCCACACATTTTACAAGGGGAGGTATTCTCACTTGAAGTGTGTGTGTGTGTGTGTTCTGCTAACAGTTTTATCTACTTGCATGCTATTACCATATTTATGTTGATTTCTAGTATGAGTTAAAAACTTAAAACTGAAAGATGCTGCTTGGTTGCAGCTTTTTTATGCATAGTTTCATATTATCTCCTTCAAAAGGTTGATTTCATTACTTCATTACTGCTGCTAGGTGCATTTGCTTTGATTCAGCTTCAAGAGGACATGAAACGACAACTTAGTGCAGAAGGAAACTACACTGAGGAAGAACTAGAGGAGTATATGCAATCTCACAAGAAAATAATGATTGACTCTCTGTGGAAGCTTAATGTTGCTGATATTGAAACCACTCTCTCCCGTGTTTGTCAGATGGTTGTTCCTGAGTTTTTGTGTTCTGATTGCATGCTGCTTTTCTGTTCTTATTTATTGTGTTCATTCTAGAATTTCTTGGCTTTTCAGGTTTTACAAGATAACAATGTAAAGAAAGAAGAACTCCGTGCTCGAGCAAAGGGGTTAAAGACACTTGGCAAAGTTTTTCAGGTATTTTTACCAATTTCATGATGATTTTCAATCATTTCATCCGATGTTCTAAAATACAAAATTATGTGTCATTAGAGGGTTAAGTCGGTGAATGGGAATGAAACTGAGACTTCAGCTAATACTCCTGTCCAGAAGTTGGATGGAAGTGAACCAAGTTATGATTCTCACTCTTTGAATCCATCCTCACGATCTCAAAATGCAGATGAGGCTCCTTATACAGCCTTTGCAGTGCAGGTACTGCCTTTAATTCTTTTTCTAAACAACTCCCCTGCAGATTTCTTTGTATGTGATGTGGGGAGGGGGGGGGGGGGGGGGTGGGGGGATTTGGTCTATTGCTTTTTCTCATGTGTGTTTGTGTGTGTGTGTGTGTGTTTTTGAGAACGAGCCTATGAGAAGAGATCCTAATGTGTTTCCTTCAGAAGTGAGATATACCGTTGATACTAGAATGAGAGGAGATGAGTTAGCAAATGATAAAAGTGATTTTCCATGTGTGCGATCTCTTGGTTGAAGCTTGAGTACTGTATTAGTCATGGGAGTTAAACTTCCAAGATCATTAATACAACATTCAAAATCTACTTCATCATTGCCATTATCCAAAATAAAAACAAAATATGTTTCATCATACATAAAAACACACCATAATCAGTTTTCTATTCCTTCCAACTGCACAGGGAAGAGATGATATTTTAAAATTATCTTTTATCAGTATAGACTGAACAAGTGAGCAATTGAAAGCTCTGCATAGTAGCAATTTTTGAAAATCATATTTGTATAACATGCTATGAAAGTTCTGCTCTATGTGGTATCTCTACAAACACATTTAGCAGTGTTTCCTTGGAAAATTCAGTTTCCTCACACTGAATTAAAGTTTTCTTGTTACTCAAATGTTGATTCTCTTGTTAAACTGTTATTTTCAGAGCCCATACATTGAAACACCACAATTTGGTAGCGGACAATTCAACAGCTATGATTTCCCCATGCCAACTGCTCCACCTGGTGCAGAGAGACATGCCTAGACATGCAGTTGAATCTTACCCACTGTATGAATACCAGGTATTATTAAATGGGGTATTGTTGGAGCAGTTTGTATGTTCCATTTGCTTCAAGTGGAGATTACAGATTAATCTGAATATCTGTGAATGTAAAGGTGCTTGTAATTTGCTGAATATTTGTGTGCAGTACAAATTTACTACAATTTTGAAAGACTGGCTAATGAGTTAAATTCAGCCTTTTTTTGGGGTGAGTTTTAACTTTATTGTTGAATCACTGCATCTTGAGCACAAGTCATCCATTTCAATTCCAACATCCTGTTGTAGTTTGTCATTTAAAAGCGAACCCAAGAAGCATATTGAACGCCATTGGGCGAAATTGTTAGCTATTCGTGGACAATATATAGGAATCCAACAACCAAACTGATGTACCATTATAATGTGATGCTCTAATGACTCAAGCAGAATTATAGTTATAGATGAGGAAGGGACTGAGATTTGCAGAAAAGAGAAAGGGAGCCTATATAGATTGACCCTTAACAAACTCCTACAAACAAGGAAAATAACGATGGGATATACAGCTCTAATCAGGCAACAGGAAGCAACCAAAAAAAAAAAAAAAAAAAAAGAAGAAAAAGAGAGTAACAGTAAACGATTGCAATGCCAAACGACGACGTCTGGAACCCTTCAACTTTAAGAAATTGCACGCTGAGCATAAATCGTGGAATTCCTCCCAGGTAGCATCCTCTAGAGGAAGAGACCTTTAACCCTAATCGCGTTGAAAGAAAAAATAGAAAATGCGTCTCATATATTTCAGGGTGGAAAAGTGTAGTTTGGCATAGGAAAGCGTCAAAGTGATAAGAAAATCAAAATGCAAATCTAATCTAATCGTCTGGAAAAATGAGGTTTTTGGAGGAGGTTACCCGCCCGACGCCCGTGCCCGAATCACGGGAGTTGGTGACCCAATTGAAACATTCAACGGAAAAGCTAAGGCCAATTAAGTCAATTCAAAGGGGCACATTGTAACCGCAACGAATAATTTAGTGGTGGGAGAACGAAAAGAAAGCTGCCATTCCAGAGATAGAGAGAGAAGAACATTGATAGTTGTAGTAGGGGGGAGGACGGACTGCGCAATGAAGAATGAAGAGGGTTGAGGAAAGTTTTCTTCAACGAGGAGAGTGGTGTGTCTCAGTGTCTTTCTTTCTCATCAAAACCGATGAAATGGATCCAGACCCTAGCAACTTTCCTATTCTTTCCTATGTGATGTCCAAACTCCCCAGCTTTGGGTCCTTAAGCGTCACCCCCGCCTCTGCCGACGACATGGAACGACCAACGGCACGGACCCGGCAGCCGCAGAATCCTCATTTTGAGATCACTGACCGCATGCCTCATCTCACAGATCCCAACGTCGTAGTTGCCATGCGGCTGGCCATAGTGGACGTGGCGCAGACCCGATCTCTGCTCAAAGCTCTCGGCAACCGTCCTGATCACGAGACGGTGGATACTGCTAAGGCCAAGCTGGCGGAAATTGACGCTTTTCTATCCAAGCAATTGGATGAGATGATCGTGCCATCGCCGCGGCCTGTGGAAAAGGACGACGAAGGGATGAGGAAAGAGGCGGAGAAGCAAAGGGAGTTGTATAAAGCGGTGATTGAGTTGGACGAGATGCATCAGGCGTATGTGGTATTGTTGAAAGAGGCAGAGCGGAGGCTGGGGAAGATTTACGATGTGGCTGTGGCTGGCGGTGATGTGGCAGCAGCTCTTGAGGGAAAGGAGGATCATATGAATACTGGGGGGGTGAAAGAGGAGGAGGTGGTGAATGAGGAAATAGTAGCAATTTTCAAAGAAACGCTGGAGAAAGGGGTTGAAAGAGTTGATTTATCTGGCAGGCAATTGAACTTGCTGCCTGAAGCATTCGGGAGAATTTGCTCCTTGCTTGTGCTTAATTTGTCCAACAACGACCTTAAGGTAAGCCAGCCCTAAGTAGCTAGCTAACTTTATTTTAATTTCTCAAGCCGCTATCCGATATCTGCTCTAGCATAAAGCTAAGTTATTTTTCAATTGTAGATAAGAATCTTATTCTTAAATCATTTTTAAAATATGAAAATTAGCTAGGCATAGTCGCATTGATAATTTGGATGGATCCCTTAGACATTTGAAAGAAGAAAATTTTAACCATGATCACTATAAAATGACCTTACTATAGAAAGAAAGATAAGGAAAAGGAGAGGTGGCCAAGAAAAAAGAGTCAGCAAAGCCGCAAAGGGTAGGAGAAGAAAGAAAGAAAAACCTTTTGTTTATTAATTCTTAATTTGATTTACTTCCTTGGCTCCTTTGCACAGGAGCATAGCTAAGGTTACAAGAAGATGCTATAGATTTTTTGTAGATTAAAAGTAACGTATGTTTTCTACTTGAGTGTTAAGGTGTGTTTCGAAACTAAGGTGTGTTTCGAAACTCAAGAAATCATTTTCCGAGTTTCTGGTGTTTGGTAAGTGAAGGAAATTTAAAGTCAACGGAAAATAATTTTTTGGTCAATGGAAAATACACTCCATTTCTTGGAAAATGACTTTCTTTTTTTTTCTTTTTTTTTTTGAGGGAAGTCATTTTCCACTCTTCTTCCGTTCATAGCTTCTCCTACGCTCCATTGTTTTCCGGCCATCCTCACTGGTTTTCGCCCGATGCGGAACCGGGTTTCTGGTCCCCGATGCGGAATCGGGTTTCTGGTCCCCGATGCGGAACCGGGTTTCTGGTCCCCGATGCGGAACCGGGGGTTTCTGGTCCCCGATGCGGAACCGGGGGTTTCTGGTCCCCGATGCGGAACCGGGGGTTTCTGGTCCCCGATGCGGACCCGGGGGTTTCTGGTCCCCGATGCGGACCCGGGGGTTTCTGGTCCCCGATGCGGAACCCGGGGGTTTCTGGTCCTCGATGCGGAAACCGGTTCTTGTTGAGGTGATCTTGACTGCACATTTTGGTAATGGTAGATAGGTTCTGATCTTTATTTTTTAAGTTTATGCACTGAATTAATTAGAGATAATATTACAATTGTTGATTGAGAAGATTGGATTATGCTTTTGAAAATCTACTCATTTTCTGGAAAACGAACCAAACACACAATGACAGTTTTTTGTTGTGTAGCCAAACACCGAAAAAGAAATCGTTTTTTGGAAAATGACTCATTTTCCAAAAAATATTTTTCAAGAAGTCATTTTCCTCTGCTTTCCAAACAGACTCTTTGTGGAGTCCATATTTAATTTAGGCACTTGCTATACTACATGGACCAGACCCACCATGTATTATGGACCCTGGTTCATAAGTTATGTGTTCAGTTAATAAAGTGTGTGGCGTTTTAAAAAAAAATAAAAGTGTGTGTCTATTATGTGGAGGCACATAATTTTAATTGCAAATACATAATATGTTAACTGAATTTACAATGCAAAGTGGACATTGGTCTATGATATAATTTTCCTAATTTAATCTTGTTTGACCTATCTAATTAAAAGTTAGGTAACTATTAAAAAAATAAAAGTTTAAATTGAAAATAAATAAAACTATTTTATTTCTTAGATTGAAAAGGAATGATCTATACATTTGGTCAACACACATACGTGTGTGTGTTGAGGGATGCATCATTAGGTGTGGTGCATTGGTGTATTTTTGGACAGTGTGGTGCATCGGTGCATTTCTGAACACTGTGTGGTGGATTTTTGTATACCTAATGGTGAATTCGTAATTTTAAAATAACTTGTTAGGATCAAGTGCTTACTATTTTCGTCAAAATCCCTCCGCCACCTATGACCTGACTCTGATACCTTGTTAGGATGAAGCGTTTACCACTTACACTAAAAGCTATAGTTAGTAGCGAAGGCGCAACTTTATTTCCTTATAGACCGCCATCATATTTTCAAGACGTTGGGTGTTGGACTTGGCCTTTACCTTTTATCGACCTTCGCGTAACAATTCCCCAACTTGGCCTTTACTATTCTCCGTCCAACAATTACGAAAAAAATAATTTCACTTTCGTGGATGTAAGCACATTGTCGAACCATGTAAATCATGTATTCTTTACTTTCTGACATTATTATTGTTTTATGTTTTTGTTAATCTCAACAAATTGGTATCAGAGTCAGATTGAGATAGCTCGTTCAAGTGTGAAATTAGAGGTATCAAAGTTTTGATGGTACAATAAATTCCAGGGTATGATAGTCTAGGGTTAAGGATTTGTTGGCACAATAAGTCTTCTAAAAACCTTGAAGGTAGAAAAGTCCTCTAATCTGGAAGAGGCTGATTAGGAGGATTTGAAGAAACACGCGACATGAACTATTCGGTTATACCTCGAAGATGAAGTTGTTTATCACGTTATGACCCTAGAAACTCCAAAAGAAATTTGGGATGAATTAGATTCTCAGTTCATGTAAAAAAATTCTAACGAACAAACTGTATATAAAGCAAAGGCTTTATGCTATGGGCTTGTGCAAGAAGTTCATATTTGGTGCATCATATTAATGTCTTCAACCAGATAATCTTAGATCTTGAAGATGAAGACAATACGATGATCTTGCTATGTTTACTATTTCTTTTCTTTGAACATTTGGTTACTATTCTTACGTACGGGAAAGTCACGATTAAATTCAATGAGATCTCTGCAGCCCTGCTAGCTCATAATCACCGGAGACATAATGCATGAGAGGGCTCTTTGTATGTTAAGATGAGTCAAGATCGTGGAAGGAAGCAAAAAAATGGCTTTTTTTTTTTTTTTTGTGACAGTTTGTATGATAAGAGGAGTCAAGATCGTAGTAGAAGGAAGCAAGGGAAGGATAATTCTAGGAAGAGAAATTCTAGGTCTAAGTTCATAAATAGCAAAAAAAATTCAATGGTACAAGTTTAAAGAGATTAACACATGAAAAGATACTATCCAAAGTTGAGGGAGCAAGAAGGATGCTAACGTGGTACAAGCTGATGACCCAGATCTGGCCTGAGTGGGAATTCTCCCGTTCCCTGGTCAAAGACTTAGTTGGATGCGGGATCTACTCCATGGGAACGGTACAAACGTAAAGATATCATCACGATCCCTCTTTTTGTACTGCTAGGGATGTTTAACGCCACTTCGCCAACTAGCGTTACCTGCGCTTTCCTGTCTCTCAGTGTGGTCAACACTGGGTGTTTCCGAGCAGCGAAGCTTACACCCATTCGCATTAGTTCATCCAAAGTTCCTTATCCTTATGCACAAATTATTGAATAAGTTATCTTCCTATCAAGGTTAAGGAGTCCACTGAGCATCTCAGCAACGGGATTAGATACCAGGAGAATATCAGAGTTGAATGTGATATTCTAGCAGTTATTAGTGATAAGATCAAATATTGATTGGACTTGTTGGGTGTTTTCAAATTCTAGATGAACATGTGAGGGGTGTTATAGCGATGGGCAGCACGGGTGTTGGGTGGGGTGAGGACCTAGCATGAGTTGCGATGAAGCAGTTCGTAAGCATGCACCGTATCAGTGAGGGAACGCTAGACGGTGCATGTGACTGGCTAGTTGGGATGAGTATGAGTTGTGGCCGGTATGGCAGGTCGACAGTTGAGGACACACAGCTTGGGATGTAGTAGTTTGTGAGCATGCACGGGGGAATGCTAGATGGTGCATGGTGCATGTGGCTGACCAGTTGGGATAAGCATCATTTTTCCGATCAATGTGTATATGTGAGATAACTATTTTCTCATAAAGAACATATTCGCTAAGGTGGAGATTTGTTGAGTTTGTCTCATATAGGATTTATGATATTGTCTCGTAAAAGAAATACTAGTATTTTATATGCGTGATGCGCAAAAAATATATGCCCAATATTAATATTACATATTAAAATCTTAGTTATAATAATTGTTTTAAAAAATAATAGTGTTTTAATATATATATATATATATATATATATATATATATATATATATATATATATAGGAACACATCTTTAGGTAGGTTCCTAGGAACTAATCTAATCCTTTTATTTTATTTAATCAATGAATTATATTTAATTATTTTTAATGATTTTTTTTCGCCGATTAAGTTATATTTTAGACAAACAATGGTATTTTAGTATACTTGTGCATGCACACATTCGTTAATCTAAGTGCACACGGTATTTCGTATATCAATTTTTTTTTAAATAACATGGCACAAACTCGTTAACCAAGTACACACACAGTTCTATCTGAGTGCACACACAACACAATCTTGGTGCACACCAAAATGTTTAATATCTTTTCATACACAAACTAATTTTGTAAATTATGGCACACACAATGTAACGCAAGTGCACACAGTTCAACCGAAGTGCACACCCTATTCTATCAATCCAAGTGCACACCAACTTGTTACATGTCTTTTCATCCACACACTCATTATATACGTTATGGCACACACAGTTTAACCCAAGTGCACCACATAGTCTTTAACATCAATCTGATTTTCGTGAATTCATCCTTTCAGTATTTTTGCACATTATGGCACACACAGCAAATTCAAGTGCACACCAATATATATGTAATGTTACGGTGAAATAATGCAACAATTGATATAATTAATATAAGAAGACTTACCCGCATGGGTAGCTTAACTGGTCACAGTTATCTCTCAAAGTGAGAGGGTTTCTTGTGCGCGCGCAGTGAGCACCGAGCAACCTCATTAAATCCAAACTCATAAAAAATCCTTCTTTAGTTGGCCACCTAAAATCAAGAAAAATATCATGATTAAATATTTCCTTTTAGGTGGATGATGAATAAAATGACATCATTATCCCTTGTAATTAATTATGATTAATTTGCTAATTAAATTGTAACTTGATCTTGATCATTGATTTTCAATTTTTGAATGGGTTAGATGTGGGTTCCTAGGTTCCTACCTAAGGATAGGTTTTTACTTGAATCCTCCCATATATATATATATATATATATATATATATATATAATCGTATAATTCATATTAATATTATTGAGGTAAGAGTTATAGTACTAAATATAAATATGGTAATATTTAATTAAAATTTAAATGAATTTAAATTTACCATTGAATGAGGTAAGAAAAAAATAATGTGTATGCATGTGCATGGTAATAATAATAGGAAAAGATAACAGAAGTTATAACGGTACGGATATTATTGTCTAAAAAATTATGTAGTACAATTTTTATAGCATAAGGTACAAAAAATTTTAACAACGGACAGCTATTCTGTCTGTTTGAAGTTTTAACAATTCAATTCAATTGCATTTGCACAGACTTCTTTGTGTATTCTTATACTTCTGACATTTGACTTGCTTCAATTTTTGGATGGAAAAAGGCAATTCCTAATTCGATTTCAGGTTTGAAGAACCTTCTGGAACTTTATCTTTCTTGTAATGTTTTGGAGTCGCTTCCAAACTCTATTGGACTTCTGTTTAATTTGAAAATACTAGATATCTCTAGTAACAAGCTTACGAGACTGCCTGATAGCATCTGTCACTGCAGGTAAACTTAAGTACTAACAATAGATCAGATCGAGCTTCTTTAATTCTTGGTCGTCTCTCTTTACTTTACTAATAAATCTCCGTTACGTTAATGAACTGTTTCCAGATCACTGGTAGAGTTGAATGTAAGCTTCAACAAACTCTCATACTTGCCAATGAAAATGGGGTGTGAACTGGTGAACCTTAGAAGACTTTCTCTTCCATTTAACAAGCTCTGGTCGCTTCCCACTTCTATTGGCGAGATGAAGTCCTTGTCCATTTTAGATGTGCATTTTAACGAGCTCCATGGAATTCCACTTTCCATTGGGAAATTGACAAATCTTGAGATCCTGAACCTAAGCAGTAATTTCAATGACTTCACCCACCTCCCGGACACTATTGGCGACTTGATCAATCTCAAAGAACTTGATCTCAGCAACAACCAAATCTATGAACTGCCTGTTACATTTGCCCGGCTCGACAATCTTATAGTGCTTAAGATTGACCAAAATCCTATTGTGGTACCTCCGAAGGAGGTTGTAGATGAAGGAGTTGGAGCTGTGAAGGCTTTTTTGGTAAAGAAACAACTTGGCATGATTATGCCAGAAGAGCGACGAAGCATGCTTGAACAAAAAGATCGTAGTAGTGCTTCCTGGTTGAGTGATGTTGTTTCAAGTGTTTCAGGATATTTGGCAGGCGCTGAAAAAACCGAACTAGACGATTATCTCAACCAGCAGTTATGATTTTTGTTTTTTAGTCTATATCCTATATAAGAATTAATTTCACTTTTGGTCCCACGACTTTTGATTTTCTATCACTTTTGGTGCACAACTTTAAAAATTTTTAATTTTGGTGTCTAATTTTGTTATTTTTATCAGTTTTGGTCCTTTTGGCCAAATTGACAGCGAAATTTTGCTGAATTTTATATTGTTAGGGGTAAAATCGTCATCCCAAGGAAACATTTTCAATATCTAAAAAAATCACTGTAAAATCATATCTATAGGTGTTTGATGATGAGAATAATGGGGAAGACGGGTAGAAACCAAACAGATCTATAGGATTTATAGTTTTGACCATTGACAAACTCTTCTTTTCCTCTTAATATGATTTTTCTTTTGTTTAAATATTGAAGATCTTTCCATGGGATGACGATTTTGCCGCTAAAATATAAAATCTGGAAATATTTTACCGTCGATTTGGCTGGAAGGACTAAAACTGATAAAAATAACAAAGTTAGGCACCAAAATTGAAAAAATTTAAAATTGTGCACCAAAAATAATAAGAACTCAAAAGTCGTGGGACCAAAAGTGAAATTAATTCTCCTATATAAATATATATTGAGGTCGTTGTATTTAAACTCCGAATGTACCGGCTTTCTTTTCAAGGCTCTATTTTCTCTTCTTCCCCACAGGTTCGCTAGTTTAATTTTTATCCATTTTTTAAGGAATTGATTAAATTATTATTCTATCATGTCACCCAACAACCCAGATTTGTAAAACAAGTTAGTTTTGTAGATCGGTTAGATGATCGAAGACCAGATTTTTTTTTTTTTTTTTTTTTAAACAAACCGGATGATTCATTAATTAGCTTCCGAATCAAGTACATAAGAAATAGATAGAAGATAGAGGGGAAGAAAATCAGTCCATACAATCGGCAGAGAACATAGTTTCTCGTGTCGAGTTAATTGGGAAAATCAAGTTACAATTGTGTGGTAAAATTTTGTTGTCAATATAATTTAAAGAGTTAATACTCGAAATGGTTCTCAGTATAGTAGTTTTTCTCAATTTTATCCTAAACGACTTTTTAGTGGACTTTTATGTTTTCCTCCTTTTATTATTTCGTCAAATTGTAATCTCAATATTGGTCTCTCTTTATTTTCAAATGTTCTTTTATCAGGTACTTTCAAAATTACTCACGAACCTCTGAACCAAATTTTATATTACTATAAAGGCTAAATATTGATGTAACTCAAAAGCATATATTTCATCCTAAAGACTAAAGAAATTAATTCTATCTGCACGTGTCTATATGCAACGTAACTTCCGATCCACACCTTGCTAATGCAGCACAGCTAAAAGTTCTCCGGAGAAAGACATGCATTGACATTATTATTATTATTATTATTATGACATCTATCAAATGGTATATGTTCTTCTTCTTTAATTTAATGGTAAATGGAAATATGGAATGTATACCCGGCCCATCCATCCAGTGTACGTAGTGTTTGATGAGACTAAAGAGAGGGTATCAGATTCAATTCAGGAACAACTTGCATTGTTATCTTCTGGGAATAATAATAAGGTAAAGTTATTGGTATATAAACTGCTTAAGAAATTATATATCAAATATAACACAACACATACATATATTATCAAAATATATATATCAAATAATAATGCGCACAAGTGCACACTATCCCTCCCTGATGGATGATCCCAGTTGGAACGAGGAGTACGTTACTCGTGGTGGTCATATGAGAACAGGAACAGAGAGGACACCTGTTGTTGTTGGCGGTGGAAGACAGCTGCAGTACCCTGATGCTCAGATAGCTGCAGGCCGTGGCGGCTATGGGTATGGGATCAGTAGTAGTAGGAATCAGACTCCTCCTCCTCCTAGTGTATTTTATCCTGGTAATCATCATGTTCCTGAGCCTCATCACAAGAAAGTCCACTTTGTTGAGTTCCAGAAAACCACTGAAATCAACAACAATGACCACAAACAACTCCATCAACACAAATCATTTGACATTGAGACTGAGGCTGATATTTTTATCAAGAGGAAGCACAAGAACTTCGAGCTTGCCAAGATGGACACTTTCATCATTAACTAAGCTAATACAAACTAAATTTCCATCTCACTGTATGTCGTTGTCCTTATTTGGCAGATAATAATGCATATAATATATATATATATATATATACCATTAAATAACATATATGCATGTCTTATATACATATTATATATAGTTTGTCTAAGGTAAGGTTGCTTTTCTTTTCAGTTTATAAGCATTAATGTATCTCGTTTTAATAATGAAATTAAATGTACTCCCATAAACTATGATTTTCCTGTTATGGTATTGTCGTCAGCCAAAGTTCCATGCAAGCCGTCTAAAGTATGTGTAGTTAAAATGGATTCTTAAAAAAAAAATTGATACGTTGCACAGGACTAAAATAGGCATTTAGATTTTTATCAAAATATAAAAATCCGTACAGCCATCTCCAGTCTTGGCTGATAGCTCCCCGCCCATAGCGCGCCACCGTCTCCGTAAATGAGATTTTTTATTTTATTATTTTTTTTTTTTGTCTTGTATAAGAATACATACAAAAAATACTAGTTGTACTTGTATTGTAAGCAAATAAATTGATCGTAGGTACAAAATACGTGAAAGGATCTTAATTAAGTACTAAGTACTAACCTCCCACCATAGCTTTCGATTGATGATGGTTGAGTAGTCATCATCGGACTGCTGCAGCAGAGTAACAGTATACATTTCTCTCACTTTCTCAATACTCTTTAGATGGTGTATATAGAATGAATAGTTGAGTGAGAGGACTAGAGAGCTCTTTATATAATAACCATATGTCATTAATATGGTAACTGAATCTCTTCCCTAATCATACTTCTTACCTTAATTAATAGAAGCATGTATGGAAGTCTTGCACCACATTAGAATTATCTTAATTATTATAACTTTAACCTAATATTATAATAATGTAATTAGGAAAATGTTACATGTATTTCTATACTAGTATTTATTACTCCGTACAGGGACGGAGCCAGAAATTCGGTTGAGTTAGGTATCTAATGTCATTAATTTGACATTAATTCGGAGCCAGCTTTGTGTGGGACGGAGCTAGAATTTAACTTATGCTTTTTGTTTCTAGAACTTGAAGCTAGGTATCTAATGTATTAAATCAAAAGAGGAATGGAAAGATTGTTGTTGAGATAAGTCATTGATAACCTGTAAGCAATCACTTTCCCGCTGCAGATTCTCAACATTGACGCTCTTAATCCACTTCAAGGCTTCACGAACTCCCATAGCCTCGACTTCTCTTGGGTTGTAGACGCAGAACTTTGGAAGGCGTTTAGCAGCAACCAACGAACCTGATGAGTCACGAAGGACAAATCCAAACCCCATTTTTCTGCTAACAATGTCCAGAGCTGCATCAACGTTGAGTTTAAGGATGTCGGAAGGTGGTCTGGACCAAACTTCAGTGTACTCTGAAGACCTGGCAGTAGCATATGGAGAGTTATTATTGACACTAGACCATTCATTGTAATAATTTGATGTTGATTGGCAGATGAAAGAAGCAGTGAGAATATTATGGTTCCAGATTTCTTCGTTCCTAGCTTCCCACAGTTTCCAACACATAGATATAATCAAGCTAATGTCCTTTAACATCTTTTTGTAACAACTTATTGCTCCAAAATGCTAAAATTCAAAAAAAAAAAAAACACTACTCAAAGTAACATTTTCAATAAGTTTTTTGAGAAAGTCATTGTGTATGTAATCAACTAACAATTAATTTACCAAACACTTTTTACCCCAATCAGCTAACATTTATTATATTTACAATCAGTTAATACTATCAACTAATCAAACTCACTAACTCAATCAGTTAACAGTCATTTAGCAAATACTTCATTGCACCTCACTAATCCAATCAATTAATAATCATTTTTATCCAATCAATTAATAATCATTTTTATAAATAACTTAGAGTAATTTATCTTATTATAATATTTTACCACTTAAAATTATAAGTATTATAATAGCTACCCATTTCTGTAGTTACAAAAAAAATTATTTTAGAGATATAATTCGTGACCAATCTTAAAAATACCACACATGATGAGCGGATACAAGAAAAAACCAGAGCAGGACGAGAATGGCAGAAATAGTCGAGAATCGGTGTCGCAAGAGGCACACCAAACCAATGACAGCTTTGTGTGGGATGTAAATACTCAGCTCTACTATCACTCCAAGTCCGTTCGCTACTCTTAAATCTTAAAGAGTTTGGGATAAATTTTGTCAAATCCTTTCCAAATTAGGGCGCGCTAATTTGCAATTACTTTATTTATTTATTTTTTCTTTGTTGAATTCGGGTTTTCATATGTTGCATAATTACTTGATTGATATCAAATATCTGGATTATTCTGAACTCAGCGGTCTCAGTTAATTTTTAAACCACTCCTATATTTTCTCGAAGACAATTTAGCTTTTGCTAAAAATAGAACCTTGCAGGTAGTAGTTTGTTTCTGATTGTCTATGTTCCAAAAATTTAAAATGAAGTATCCCATTCTCCATTGGTGCAGCACTGGGTTTTACCATGATCCTCAAGCGGGATGGTATTACAGTAGTAGAGATGGCCTTTATTACAAATTTGAAAACGGGAACTATGTTTTGCTAGAGTCTGATCAGGTAGTATTAGCAATTAGACCTTTTAATCTACTCTATCAGTTATTTTCCTGATGTTATTGTATTGACATTTATATTGTTTTAGTCAATTCTAAATTTATAACCTCCATATATGATATATGACCAGGGTGATGAGTCACAGAGGAATTGTAATGCCATCCAAGATGAGCAGTGTGAGTATGTCAATATTCACGTGGAAGAGGAGTTTGCTTCAGTAGGTGAATTCTATTCTAAAACAGCAGGAACTATTTCTAATGGAAATTCTGAGGGTGAGCAAGCTGACCTCTTCACTTTTATCAGACTAGGCAATGAAACAATGCTCGGTTATAAGAAGAGAAATTCGGTTTGCAAGTTAGGAGAAATGTTGTTTCACTATAGTAAATTACATAGCACAAAGTTACTATTGCTAATAATTTGTTATTAAAATATTCCAAGAGAAATTTTCGTTCTAGTAAATTTGAGCCTGAAATAATGGGCTTGGTTCTGAATGACCTCAATAAGTGAATGTCGTGAATCATTAAGGTGATATGGCACTTTGTAAATCGACTTTACTGATGTTGCTTGGAGACAAGATGTTCTCTACTGTGCCTCATTGTTAAATTTGCAGCATAGAGTAGAGCATCAGCTCCTGCCATCACTTCTTTGGTACTTTATGCCTTTCATGGCTTCATGACATCCACATTCTAATTCTTATTTGTTATCTTTCTTGTGTTACTCTTGTTGCTGAACTCATTTCTGTGCAACTAAATGTTTATCTCGTTCCTTCATAAATTTGTTGGCCATGGACTGTTTTCAAATAACAGTACTACTTTGAGGCTTTCAGCACCACAACTTCTGATTTCTGAAACCTTGTGTTAACTTGTTCTTGGTCCTTAATGCAATGGCTTTAATTGAATGTTATTAGTCTTTTTTAATTTCTTCTTGTATAAGCATACCATACAGGCGGAGTTGGCAATGAGCTGCCAGGAAATCCACCACCTTCGGAATGGTATGTTCTTAAATGCTATCATTCCCTTGAATTTGGTATGTGTAGCTTATTTTCTAGCCTAACCGACAGGCATGATGCATCTTAATGTTAGGCTTGAAGATACTCTGATTGATCTTTATCTATCAAATTATCCCAATCATTCAATGCATGTGGAAAGTAATGACTTAGATGGCTCAAATGTATCAGCAACTGGTTTGTACAATGCAACTTCACTATCTGGGAGAACTATGAAGTATTGTTTATTAGGAGCTTAATGAATGTTGTCAAGGTGCAGGGAATGATGATATATATGAACTTGAGGAAGGTGAATGGATCCCAGATGACCATTTAGTTTCATCTTGTTCAAATGAAAATTTGTTGGATGAAGGTTTGTACATAAATCTCTCAAGTCAATCACTTAATAACATATGAGTTTTGTCGCTTTTCTTATCAACGTATAGCTTTTTCCAATTGCATTGCTTCTCTTAATTTTGATGTTTGATTCTTTTGTTTATCACTGCCCTTATTTTGATCCTAAATTTGCATTTGTCATAAGTGTAATTCTCCCTTTATCTACTTTCAAGTATATATGTGAGAATACATTTGTTAAGTTTATGGACTATCCTGCTCATTCTGCAATTTGAGGGAGGGTCCTAGGAGTTCTATTCCTTAGTCAACTACTCAACTATCTCTTTGTTTCCCTGATTTTCCTGGTAATTTAGATTTGGAAAAAGATGAATTTCTGAAGCATATATGAGCTTATTTAAACTTCCTATTGCTATACTACTGTGTATTTCTTGTCAAAACTTCCACTTCCCCAATGAAAATGAGATTTATGCCAAACTTTTGATAAAAAAGAAATTAGTGATATTGAAGAGTTTAAAATTGCATATGCACCTTAACTTGCTGATGATTTTTGTTATGGAATATAGATATACTATTTGGAATTTCTATAGATTAGGCAGTCTTAGGTAACTAAGGTAAGGCATATGGAAACTTGTTTCCTATTCGTAGTCTTCTAGCACCTATTTATAGGGCTTTGTATTCTCTTTTCTATAAGACAGTTTGAGACAATATACAACAGCACATTAAGAAACTCTCTCTTTACTTTCATAACAATTTTGTACTCTTACTTGCACATGGGGAATTTTCTTTTATAAAATAGGTACTTCTTTAGAGGAAGAACACTGGCAAGCTCAGTATGGTCAAGTTACACGACCAGATGAAGATTCATTATCTAATATTCAAGCGATCAATTTGTGGGATTGGTCACTGGTAAAAGGGAGCAGGAAAGAGAAAAAACATAAGGTGACCAGACTTGTTGGACGATTAGTAAAAAGCTCTGCTAAGCTGCATCCGTCAATGCCTTCCAGTGGCAGTCTTCTGAGAACTGCTCCAGTATGTGAAGCTCATCTTGATCTGGTACGAGTTAAATCAGGTTTGCCATTGTCCTGATTTCATTTTCCATTGTGTGCACTTTAACTGTCTTTAAAGATATACCAGTCAGGTATTTGCTGAAAGGTCCATTATGTCCCCTCATAATTCCTATGGCATTAATACAAAGAATCCATGCCTGTCGAAAAACCATTGGTTTATAGTATCTGGTTCCTATTATAAAATTCTATTCTATGCACTTTAAGCCTCTTTTATTTTGGGTTCTTTACAGGACTGTCCTTGATTTATGTTCCCTTGCTTATCAATGATTAACTGCTTTTAAATATAACGAAGTTAAAATTGTATGCATCTAGAAACATTAAAAGAAATGTAACAGGGTGCAACCAAATTGATTTGGGGATTCCTGCTAAATACCCATTCTCTATGCAGCCACAGGTCATTTACCAAATTCAAATGTATCCATGGCTCTCTATAAATTATTTCTAGCTCTGATATTTTGCTCTCTTGTCTCTATTATTATATAATAAGGAGTAGCTGCTAAAGTCTTCCCCTTATACAGGCAAGGTGTATAGGCTGCGGAATCCCAGCTCACAATACCTGGCTTCTGTATCTACTTATGATTCCTCAAACCCAACAAAAGACTGGGGCTTTCCTCAAATGTTAATGTATGGGTTAGTCGAGGCAGATACTACATCTGGTCAGGGATATGAATCCAGAGGGCTTGTTAGTCAGAAGGATTTCTCTTTGTCATGTGACCAGATTAGTGTATTTGAAAAGGTTGATTGTCCATATTAAGCTTCTTGAAGTTGAATATGATTATTTTCTTCTGGATGATAGTGTTATTACTATTTAGAAGGGAGTATGTTAGTAGTCTTTTGTTCTGTCTTTCTAAATGAGATCTCTAGTAGTTCCAATTCATTGTTATTGGCATTCATGTAGTATCACTTATCAGTGTCTCAAGAACCACACAGGTTCTAGGCAAAATTGGTACTTTTCCTGATTATTTCATGCCTTACTGTATATTAAATGAACATTTTCTGTTTGGGGAGCATAGTACTTAATAGGGATGTTGCAAAACTAACTAGTGTTCATTCATGTACATTTATGCAATTATGCAATATATCTATGCATTATGAACTACCTCTAACCAATATACATCTTTTAAATAAAGTTGTAGAAGTTTTAAAATTCCCAGTATTCCAGTAGGATTGTATGCAGGGATCAGAGACCTCATCTAATAAAAGCATTCTATTCCTAAATTGGAGAGCTCTATCAAGATGGTTAATGAATTCTGCTTCTTAGGACTTGCTTAAATCCAACACAAAGTGGGTTGGATCTTAGTGAAGTTTGTGATTTGCACATTCTTACTTTTGATTTTTGCAGAGTATTGAATGTTTCAATTGTTACTCATGTTTAATTTTTTGTTTTTTGTTTTTTTGTTTTTTTTTTTTTACTGCCATTTGGTAAACTTAGACCAGAGGCCATGTATATAGAGATAGAGCTGCAGAGAGGCGAGCATTGCATAATGGGATTGGTGTTGGTCCAGGACAAAAGAACATATTTGATTCTCCTGATTCTGGTCCATCCACTTCCACATCAGCTGGTGGAGCGGAAGCAATGGCTGAATCCTTGAACACATCATTTGGAGCAGGCAGTTATGCCAGAAGAATTCTAGAAAGCATGGGCTGGAAAGAGGTATACATTTGAGGACATCTTCCCCTTTTGTTTTAACAGAATAGCATTACTGTTGGACAGATGATAGGGATTAACAGAATAGCATCTGTGTGATCTTTCATGTGTTTTATGCAGGGAGAGGCACTTGGTAGCAGCAACAAGGGATTGATTGAACCATTACAAGCAACTAGACGTACAGGAAACGCTGGGTTGGGATGGAATCAGAGCAGAGGAAAATATTCTTTATGAAGTGCTATCTGACAATAACACACTGTTTTTGTTAGCTCGACAAAAGCTAGAAAACAAATTGGAAAGTGAAATAGTGGACCCGATCTTCTGATATAACAAATATGAGTACTTTATGTTTGAAATATTTTTCAAGCTACCATTAAAATACTTGAGTTATTATTATAATGAGTACTTTATGTTTGGATTATCGCTGTGTTGAAATTGAGTGTGATTCAGAGAGATTGATCAGGTGGCTAAGAAATGATGGTCTACTGAGTGCTGCAGGCTTCATGGCGATATAGCATATCCCTGGTTTGATGGTGCTTTCAAGGCATTCAGGGTATTTTGATGGCTGATAAGTGGGGTGCTCCACAGGTGGTTGTGCTTATCACCCTAGCCCGTGTACGTTGGTGTCCAGTAAAGGTTATAGTTTTAGATTCGTGCGTGTGAGCGATTAACTTGCGCCTAGCTGACTACTTGCATGAAGTAGTGATAGCAATAGAGATTGTCCCGTTCGTGCGAGCAGTTATTTCGTGCCTCGTTGATCGTTTGCATAAAGCGACATTGATGGTTATGTTGACCTCCCTAGCTCGTGTACATTGGTGCCCGGTAAAGACCGTAATTCTATACCTGTATGTGCGAGCGGTTAATTCACACCTAGTTGTTTACTTGCATAAAGTAGTGATGAAAATAGATTGCTCTATCCGTGCGAATGGTTGTCTCGTACCTCGCTAGTCGCTTGCATAAAGCGGCACTGGTGGTTGTGTTGACTACCCTAGCCCGATGGTGCCCGGTAAAGGCCATAATTCCAAACCTGTGCTTGCGAACGGTTATCTCTTGCACTGTTGGCCACTTGCATAAAGTGGTGACATCGTTTGTATGATCGGCTATATCGTACTTGTCTGTGCGAGTGGTTATCTCGTGCGACACTGGTTGCTTGCTCAAAGCAGTGTCCTTGCTTCATCATTGTTTTGTGTTGCATGGATCTCTGGTCGTTGGCTATTTTATTCTTATACTTCTATGTGGGTTGTGTCATTGGTGCTTTTATTACTTTTTATCGTGGCATGTAAGTCTATTAGTATTGCAGCCTGCGTGCTTTGGTCAGTTATTTTGGCAGCCTGTGTGTCGAGTTTTTTATGGCAACTTGTGTGCCTCCTGTGTTGTGTGGTCTATTGGTCCACCTTAACTTGTTTGGTTGCTTATGTACTATCGTTATGCTTCAGTGTCGTGCTAGTGGTTTGCTAGTTTGGGGCCGGTCTGGTGGTTGATTTGGTGATCCTTGTAGTTTTCTTAGTATAAGTGCTTCTTACAGCCAGTTATAGGAAGGCCTATTTGTACAGTTGTTCCTTGTCTCGTTGTAGAAGTTTTCTTTTGATTTGTTAATAAAGTTCTTTGAGCCAAGCACCTTATGCACCTCTGTGGCTTCCCTTAAGAGAAGGTCACATGATCGAACTCCGATGGTGAGATATTGACTCTTTGAGTAGCAATAGTTAGAAAAAGTTTAATACGGAGTAGTATTCATAATAGTAATAGTAATAGTAATAGTAATAGTGATATTTTAAATATATTTTTATAAAAAAATAATAATTAATTAATAACTGAAAAAGAGCTTAGGGGGGGTTTGGTTTTTAATGTTTTTTTATTTGTTCATACATATTTTTTCAATCTATTAAAGCACAAAGAGTCGGTAAATTATATTGTGCACCATGGCGCATAATGCATTGTGCGCTCTGGCCCAAAACAACGTCGATTTGTATATGTTTTTTTTTTTTTTTATTTTAGAAATTCTGGTTTCCGTTTCTGCCGTTAATTTGTTTTTTAAAAAAATCATGTTTCGTATGTACAGAATTGTGTAATAAAATACACATAAACTCCTAACATAATACACATAATCTAACATAATACATAATACACATAAACAGAAATGTTAAAAAAACTGTAACGAAATTATGTACTCCGTAATCTACTATACTAATAAGAGCCCAAGAGAGTTAGGCCTATAATGGGTAGAAAAAATGGCGGTCATAGATTTTAATCAAATGAATGGCTCAGATTGATTAAAAGATTGATAAGATTTAAATTGTACACTAAAATTTCCTAAAATACCCACACACCGTTACTAATTCCGTTAAAATTTTAAGAATTGTCGTTAGTTCACCGTTAACTTACTCATTGATTTCAATAAAAAAAAAGGTCTTAGGTTCGAACCTCATCCCAATCAAAGTTGGCATAATTAGTACTCTATTTTACTCTTATTAAATTAATAATAATTTAGTAGCTACAACAAAAAATTATAGATATGCATTTATTTAATTTAGAATTATGTGTCCACAATGCCTTTATTCAAAAAAAAAATATATATTCATTATCAATAAATTAAATAAGAGAAATAATTGTATTAGTTATATTGTCTTTATTGTTCTACAATATAAAATTTTCTTTATATTCAAATTTATTAATTGATTATATTCGCTACATTGTCCTTACAATGTCTTAATTCAGTGAAAAAATTATTCATTATCAATAAATTAATTAAGAGAAATATTTTCATTAGTTATATTGTCTTTATTTTTCTCAAATGTAAAAATTTTTACATTCAAATTCATCAATTATTAAATCAAATGAATGGTTCAAATTGTTCAGGTTTTAATTTTTTTTAAAGTTTTTCTAATTTATCCTTAATTATATGATTATCCATTTAACTTTTCCGTTAAATACCGTCACCATTAGTCTAATTCTAATATTAACGTCTAATATAGAATTATAATTACACCATTAATCTAATTCTAATATTAAAGTCTTAATAGAACTTAACCACAAATCCTAATGTCGAAATCTCCTCAAACAATATTAGTATATATTTAATATTTTATGCCCTAATTTTTATTTGTTCTCTCTTATGTCCCGTATTTGGTTTCAAACATACCTATACAATTATTTTATTGACAATTATAATCAATCTTGACTATATTATCTTGCATTTGTAAATTTAGAATTACCTATTTAACCCGCACGGGCTTAGCTCAATGGTTTAGTGGGCAGTATTTGGGAGAAGAGACCAAGGTTTGAACCTCGGCGGCGGCAGTGCGGGAATTATGTCCAAAGTGGGCAGATTCCTTGTTCGCACCTGCATTTGGTCCTGTCTGCTGAACCATTGAGTCACCGTGATTTACAACTTCCCACAATGCTCTGTCGGGTCGGAGTGTGGGGGGCCCTTGGAGTTGGGGACTCAACCTTTGGGAGAAGAATTACCTATTTAAATACGCAAATTCAACCTTCAATTATCTATGCATGAACAATTTCAATATAATATTGCCTTAATATACTTTAAAGTATTTATTTAAAAAAAAAAACATTGGACATTATCCCAATCGCGCAATGCGCGTAAAAAACTAGTACTTATAATAAATGATGTGGTTTTGGGATAAGACACACAATGCATTGTGTTCTCTAGTACACAATATAACGATTGCAAAGAATCAAAATCCCTGCACTGGGTTCGAACCAGAAACCTGGCGGCGTTTGGTTTAGACATTGGTGTTGGACTTGAAAGTAAGTAACATCAGAGTTTGTTTTCGATCATCCCATCTCAACATATCAGATGTACCCCAGCTCAGTGCATAAGACATAGCTGCAAGTGCAAACCGCGGAGACACGGCGAGAGAAAGCTGCAATTGAAATGGGTCTAAGAATCCGTGGTCGAGTGGAGAAAGTGAATGGAAAAGAACTGAGTTACGTCGAGTTTGCGGAGAAATACATGGGTCAAAACCAGCCCGTAGTCCTCACCGGTCTCATGGACGATTGGAGAGCCTGCAGAGACTGGGTAACCGATGGCGGAAAGCCCAATCTCCAGTTCTTCTCCACCCACTTCGGAACCTCCAAAGTCCAGGAAAGCACAATACGTCGTTTATCCTCTTCGGCGTCCACATAATTTTTCATTTGAATTCATAATTGCTATATCTTCAGGTTGCTGAATGTGGTACTAGAGAGTTCACGGATCAGAGGAGGATAGAAATGACCGTTGCTGAGTTCATAAACTGCGCTCAGCTCAGCGAATCTACTGATGGTGTTCAATCCTCTTTTTATTTAAAGGATTGGCATTTTGTAAAGGTGTGACTTTGGAAAGTTGAGCCTTGATTGTAATCAAATGTTAATATTTTTGCACTATTCTAATGGGAACTAGCCCCGGCTGTCAGTTTGGGGCAACTTACATTTTCCTGACACTGCTGCTGCTTGTTCACTTTCTGATTTATCATGTTCTGAGCAAGTTTCCTACTTGTTTCAGGAGTACCCAGAGTATATTGCCTATAAAACTCCATTGCATTTCTGTGATGACTGGCTGAATCTGTATCTTGACAAATACCGAATGCATAATGATCCTGATATTTACAATGAGGGAAATGAAATAAGTTGTTCCGACTATCGTTTTGTATACATTGGATCAAAAGGTTTGAGCTAAAGATGTGATGACTTCTTTATTCTAGGATACCTTTTCTTGTAAGACAAATATTACTTTCTTGTTTTCCTTTCATTAATAGGATTTTTCTTGTTACTCTAAAAAAAAAAATTCTTTTCTTTTCTCCAATAAAAGGAATAAAAGAAAAATAGAAGTGTTGTTGTCTCTTAGCTCGAGTTTATGGCACTTCTAGAGTTCTAGGCTAAAGCAATTTCTACACCAACTGTTCAACATGAATATAATTTTTAATGTTTGTTCTTGCATGAAGGTACATGGACTCCTCTTCATGCTGATGTTTTCAGATCATATAGTTGGTCAGCAAATGTTTGTGGAAGAAAAAAGTGGTACTTTCTACCTCCAAGTCAACATCATCTGGTATATGACAGGTATGGGTGTATCTCTTTTCATGGCAGCATCATATCTTGAATCTCAATGAAAGCCCATCCAACATTTTTTTTCAAGAGAAAATATGATTGTTGACATCATGTTTAGATAGCTAAAGCTATTGTTTAATTGTTTCTTGAGAATGTGAATTACTAATGTCTGGCAAGTATGACATTATATTATCCACATTCCCCCAAAAGGTATTATGAATTATGGAAAACTAAACAGGTTTCACGGACATTATGTAAAACATGAGTTTTAATTTTGTACTCTGGCTGATTAGCAAATGAATTTAAAGTTCTTTTGGATATCAAAGGCTCAAAAGTAAGGCTTGACTTTGACGTATCTCTTCTCTAATTTCAGGGAAAAGTTTACAATTGTACTTATTCAGTTACCAATCTGAAAATACTTACAGTTCCTTAATTCCTTTGTTCATGACTTCATGTAGGAACATGAAAAATTCTGTATATAACATCTTTGCAGATGTTAATGAAGTGAAGTTTCCTGGATTTAAGAAGGTAAATGCTTATTATGTTTTCTGGGTGTTCATCATTGTCAAATATTTCTCCTCTCTTCTACTTCCTACTCTAGAGTTTTGATGATCTCTACAGATTCCTTTGTATATCTCTTTAACCAAAAATTCTATTTTTGCCATGAGTCCAGGCTATCTGGTGGGAATGCACTCAGGAGCAAAATGAAATCATCTTTGTCCCTAGTGGATGGTATCATCAAGTTGAGAATTTGGTATTGCCTGTTAAGTTGTATACAGAAGTAACTCTTAGTCTCTTATCAAAAAACTTTTTTTGAAGCTTCTTTTAAAAAATGAGTTGCTAATAATATCGATGTTTGCTGAGCATGCTTGGCATATCTACTTATATGTTAACCAGGAGAAATTTGAAATGCTTTATCTTATATAATTGAAAATACTTTTTATTCATGTTATAAGATATTACACTTGTGTCATGTGTGCATATAAATATAGGACCTTGTATATAGTTTTTTTATATAGAAATCTGAATAAACCTATATTATTCTACACACTCCTTAGAATTGAAAACAATTATTGTGAGAGGACCAAATTGTGTGTAGGAAACTAGGAATAATTCCTGCTGTTTGAGAAGGAATAGCCTTGGTTCATCTGGAGGACCCTAACAACTGGTTTGCATTTTCAACTATTTGATAGCTTACTGGATGAAAATTACAACTGTTGTGACCAATTTCATATTCTATGCACTAAGAAAATCAGGTTGTCCATCGCTCATTATTTCACTCCACTTGGACATTTTTTCTTTAGCAAGTACTGATGCTGCAAGAAGTGTCCAATTAGCATGTGCTATTGCCCTTCTACTGCATCAGCAAAATTCTACTGCTGTTGTCCAATTTGTTTACATAGCATCATGGGAAGTTTATTTGATGTACTAGTGTTTAATATATTATAAGCTTCCATTTCTGCTAAGCCCACAAATGTGCCATAACTTGCAGGAGGACACTATATCTATAAACCACAACTGGTTCAATGCATATAATTTATCTTGGGTGGTAAGTATAGCTTATGCAATTGCAGGCTAGAAACAAAAGCCACTATAATATGCTTTTATTTTTTGTTAAAACTAATTTTCCTGACGTGCTATCTTATAAGTGGGATTTGCTTCGGAGAGACTACCTCGAGGCTCAGGAATGTATTGAAGACCTGAAGGGATGTGATGATTTTGAGGAGCTTTGTCAGCGTAACCTTGCTGCAAATACAGGTATGCTTTATGTTATTGGTGGATTATTATTGTTCTATTAATTAATTTATTTTTTACACAAGTTGCCTGCAGTACCTACTCCTAATATCATTATAGAAATGGAATTCATTCATACTAGTAGTTGCCCAGAACTCCACATTTTTGCAACCATCACCATAAGGTTAAATGCTACTTCAATTCAAGATAAAGCAGTTTATGGTTCAGATTTAATAAATATCTGTGATTAAGAGAAACTATATTATGTAACTTTTATCTCTGAATCTACTTATGAGCAGAGGGATGCCCTTTCATTGATGGTTGATTCCTTAATTAATTAGTTCACCAAACTAAATGTGCCTAGACTACTATGATGTTGTAATATCCATATCAAGATGGAGCATGTAAAGATTTGTTAGCATCAGTTGCATATCTAACTGCTGACTTGTTGGTGTAAATTATCCAGTAATGGTTATGTTAGACATTGTTCTCCCAAGATATGGGGGTTCAATAAGTTTATTTGAAGTATGGTAATACACTGTGATGTGTTTATCTAAACATTAAATGGTTGGGTAAAATATAAAATATGGTAAAAGCTGGTATAGAACAGCTTAATATGGGTGAGTGGGTGATTAATCAAAATCTGAATAAGATAGAAGTGGCCACAGGGTTTTGATAGAAGATGTCAAGTGTGGTTATCCTGGTGAAATTGATTTCACATTGTTATGCGCTCGGGGATCTGTGAACGCGTCACTGGGCGAGCCGAGGGAACGGATGCTCTTGATTTCCCTATGGTTGTAGAAACAGCAGAGGAAACAAGAAACGACAGAAATAAAATGAAGAGTTTTAGAGATCTTCCTCTCCCAAATGTCATAAGACAATTCTTTCAAATTCAAATTAAAATTCGATGCCTACCTTCAGTCTTTCGAAAGCTATATATACTGAAGGCCTAACGTTACTTAACGTTCATATCCTAAAAAATAGGAACAAAAAAAAAAAAAACAACTTGGAAATCTGAATAACAATAAACAGGAAAGAGATTACTATAAATAGATTGGCTTCTTATTCTTTCTTTACTGCTTCCTTATTGTTGCTTGCGATGTTTGCGTTTGCTGTAAGTTTTTCCTATGAATGCATCATCACACCCCTCCAAATCAACAAGCTTGTCCTCAAGCTTGAAGTCCGGGAACAAGGACCGAAAGTGATTCAAAGGTTCCCAAGAAGCATCTTCTGCTGCGGCGCCAAGCCAGTGCACCAGAACTTCCTGAACGCCACGGTTCAACCGGGACTGAGACACGATGTGGGGTTGAAGCAAAACCTGGCCATCGTGCAATGGAGGTAGGGCGGGTTCAACACTCGGCGGATCACCGTGGAAGGGCTTCAGCAAGGAAACATGGAACACGTCGTGGATACGACTGGAAGAAGGAAGGGCGAGCTGGTACGCGACCGGGCCCACGCGCTGGAGGATTCGAAAAGGACCAAAAAACTTCGGAGAGAGCTTGTGGAACACCCGGCGATTGACCGAAAGTTGACGATAGGGATGCAAGCGTAGCCACACCCATTGCCCCACATCATACGTGACATCGCGGTGAGCACGGTTGTAGAACTTTTCCATACGGACCTGAGCAGCCTAGAGGTGGTCCCGAATCAAGGCGAGAAAAGCGTCGCGATCTCGAAGCGCAACATCAACCGCGTCGAGATTCGACACCTTGGGCTCGTAGGACAAGAGGCGCGGAGGATCGCGACCGTAAACCACCCGGAAAGGGGAAGTCTGCAATGCGGAGTGGAACGAGGAGTTGTAACGGAATTCAGCCCAAGGTTGGCAATCGATCCACTTCTTTGGGCAATCACCGACCAGGCATCAGAGATACATAGCAATGGTGCGATTTGTGACCTCGGTCTGACCATCCGTTTGCGGGTGATAAGACGAGGAAAAGGAGAGAGTCGTGCCACAGAATCGAAACAGGTCTTTCCAAAAAGCACTTGTGAAGGTGACGTCCCGATCACTAACAATGGACTCCGGAATGCCATGGAGTTTGACAATGTGTGAGAAAAACACACCTGCAACGGATGATGCCGTATAAGGATGGCCCAAGGGGATGAAATGGGCGTACTTGGACAACCGATCGACGACGGAAAGGATCACCGATTTGCCGTGGACTTTGGGCAGTCCCTCGATGAAGTCCAGAGAAATGTCGCTTCAGATAAGTGATGGGATTGGCAGGGGCTGCAGGAGACCTGCCAGTAGAAGGTTCGCCCATTTGCAACGTTGGCATGTAGGGCATTTTCTGACAAAGTCGCGGACGGCGCCTCGCATCCCCGTCCAAAAGAACTCCCGAGAGATGCGAAAAATCGTCTTCTGCGCGCCTTCGTGTGAGACGTCGTGAAATCCTGCAAGAATGATTGGAATTAGTGGAGAATTCGGAAGAATATAGATCTTACCTTTGTAGCGAATGAGGTCCGCATCAAGTGACCAGTGAGGCCCCGCGACGTCGTCCGCGATTTTCCCGCGTAACGATTGAGCGGCCTGTGAAGCGGCGAGTTCCTGGCGAATGGAATCGAGAATAGGGGAAATCGGCGCTGAAAGAGCCATGAGAGAAGGTTCGCCCTCATCACGTCGTGACAAGGCATCAGCGACGGTATTGAGGCGGCCCGCACGGAATTCCACTTCAAAGTCATAACCCAGCAGCTTACTGATCCAGTGATGCTGTGGCGAAGTTGTGAGACGTTGTTGAAGAAGGAATTTCAAGCTATAGTGGTCGGTACGGACCGTGAACGGACGGCCCCATAAGTAGTGTCGCCAATGGCGAATGGCCTGGGATAACGCAATCAACTCCTGTTCGTACGAGGCAAGTTTGTGGTGTCGAGTAGCCAATTTCCGGCTGAAGAAAGCCACCGGATGAAGATCCTGGTGTAAAACCGCTCCTACGCCGGCTCCCGAAGCGTCTCACTCCACTACAAATGGCTTCGAGAAGTCTGGAAGTTGTAACACCGGTGCTGTGGTAAGCGCGATTTTCAGCGCTTGAAATGCCGCTGTCGCCTCCGGCGTCCAGACGAAACTTTGCTTACGGAGGAGTGATGTCAAGGGGGCAGCGATTATGCCAAAGTCTTTAATAAATTTGCGGTAAAAACCCGCCAGACCAAGGAAACCGCGCAGGCCCTTAACGGATTGCGGTTGTGGCCAATCTAAGACCGTCTGGACCTTGCTTGAAACCATGGAAACGCCGTCGGCGTTAATAATGTGGCCCAAGTAACAGACCTTGTCGACCCCAAATGAACATTTAGATTTCTTCACCAACAATTGATGACGACGGAGGAGGTCCATCACTGTCCGTACATGTGCAATATGTTCCGCCCAGGATCTGCTATAAATTAAAATATCGTCAAAGAAAACTAAAACAAATTTACGAAGGGCGGAATGAAAAACCTCATTCATGAGAGCCTGGAACGTTGATGGCGCATTGCAGAGACCAAAAGGCATCACCAAAAAAAAAAAAAACAACTTGGAAATCTGAATAACAATAAACAGGAAAGAGATTACTATAAATAGATTGGCTTCTTATTCTTTCTTTACTGCTTCCTTATTGTTGCTTGCGATGTTTGCGTTTGCTGTAAGTTTTTCCTATGAATGCATCACACATATAGGTATTTTGGTTTCTCATAGTCACACTTGCGTTGTATTGTGTGTGATTTATTAAATTTTAGTCATCATCATCTTCCTTCTTATCCTAATACAATTTGCCTCTCTCCTCCTATAGGCATGAATATCTATGATTTCTTTGTCTTCATGGTGCGGTTTGCCCTTTCCAACATGGTGCAGCTTTACAATCTCACTACTGAAGACAAAGATTGTAGTTCAAGGTCATTTCAGATGGGAAGGCATTTGGTTTTGAACCTCAAATGTATACGAAGCATTGCTTTGAAAATGAAATCCACGGCTATGGATGTAAAACATGGCATTCTAACTGACAGAAGAAAAGAATTGGAGGATGAGTTATTTGGTGAATTCTGTACTTGTCTTGGAAAAACATACGGCTTGATACATCATGAGCAGTCTCAAGTGGATCATAACATAGACCAAGTGTTGTTGAAATACTTAGAGTCAAATTTTCATCTTTCTGGTTGTCCTGTGTCTGATTCTGAAGATTTAGCTACCCTCATAGACAATGGTTTGATGAAATTAGGTGGGTGTTTCATTGATTAGCTAAGCAAAGTGTCTGTGGTTTAGTAACTTTGTGTATATGTAAACATAGTCTATAATAATAAAGATGAGATCGAGGCATCTGTTGGGAAATGAAATTATCAAAACATGCATGCACTTATTTGTTTGCAGTCGGACAGAGCCAAAAACTATGTTGTATACTTATATTACACGCTTTCTTCTTGAATGGTTGAATGTGCACGCTTGCTTCAGTTCAAATAATACTCCGTAATAATAATAGACCACTCATTTGGGTCTTTGTAATGGAACAAGATTGATTATCTCAAAACTAGAAAGTCATATCCTTGAAGCGCAGATTTTGAATGGAAACAATGCAAGGTGCAATGTGTTGATTCCACGGATGGCATTGACTCTGTTGGACCCCAGACTTTCATTTAAATTTTAAAGGAAACAATTTCTTGTTATGTTGTCATATACTATGACAATAAGTAAAAGTCAAAGGACAAACTTTAGCTTATGTTAGTTTGTTATTAAAAAGGTCAATTTTTAACAATGATCAATTGTACGTAGCAGTTTCAAAGGAGTAATCCAGCTAGTCTTTTGGTCTTAATAAGGTTTTAATTTGTGAGGAACTTAGAAGTTTTGTGAGTACTACTTAAAATGTGGTTTACACAGAAATTTTTAATAATTTGTATGTAATTGTATTTCTCGTGAAATAATATTATTTTTTATTTTATATATTTTACACATTTAATATTTTTAAATTATACTCTAACAAAATGGTCGTGGATTGCACGAATGCAAATATTAGTAATAATAAATTGTCCTGTCTTGGAATGAATGTATTTATTATATAACAATTTCTTGAAAACTGAGGGGTGAGACTTGGATTGTTCAATTTCTTGGATTGACCGTGCCTATATATTTACGACAAACATGCATCTGTCTTGGTGACCTGCCTAACTGTCCTGAGATATTCAGTATAAAATTGCTAGTTTTCTGTCTGGTAGTTGGTTTCGAAAAGTTGTCTTTATTATATTATATTATTGTTGGGAAGGTTCATAATTTAGACGTTTAACAGGCTAGTTAAGTTACCCCTCTCTGATCTATGTAAATGGTCAAAGATATGATAATATATATAGCAGTAGCTAGCATATGTCTTAGCTCTAGCTACGGTCAATTTTTACGAATTGAATGAAATTTATTTTAATTTACATCTCATCTATAGTTGTCATATTGGAAGTGCAAGAGAGAAATCTATATCTATATATGTATAGTAGTACATTATTTTCTTAGGCTGGATAAGCTGTAGGCCAGGTAGAAACTCCGGTTGTTACTCTGGTTGGCCCTGTTTGGTAAATGGTTCTTTAGTTAATAGTTATTAGTTTTTAACTGATTGAGTTAATTAGATGGTATATATAACTAGTTGATAATATTAGCTAATTGTAGAATGATGTTTGATAAATTTGTTATTAACTGATAGTTGTTTGGTATAATTTTTTTTTTTTTTTTCAAAAAGCTAATTTTAGCATTTTGAAGTTACAAAAAATGAATTAACCAAACACTTATATTGATTTTTTAACGTAGTGATCAAATAAGTCAAAATTGACGGATAGTGTAACTATATTATAGCCAAGTATGTATGAATGCATATATGCTCGATCAGATCGATCAATACGTGCAAGTAGGTTAGTAAAATACGTTGTATACGTACACAGTACAAATAAGAAATCCAATCCGGAAGGCATATATACATATATAGTAGGAAATTAATTAAAAATGGAATGAATCTGAAAATAAATAACCCAAACCCAAACCCAGCCTGTACTAGTACTAGCTTAGGATAGATCAAAACTGATACATATAACATACCTTAATTAGCTAGCTAGCTGCCTACTACCATTGCATGCATGATGTATGTGAGTTTGATTTGATTATGGACACTTAGAGTTCCTTCCGGGACCCCCATAGTAAAAATAATTTCCCCAAACATTATTTCTTCCCGCTTTGATATCATAACAGTTTGGATGGTCGGCTAATAGGTGAAGATTTGACAAAGGAACCAAGCTATTATCCCAGTCCACTGTTTGCAAGTTCCTAAAATATGATGCCTTGCCAAACCCTTCATCTGCAAAATGACCACTACCCATTTGTGTTGCAGTGTGGGACCCCGTTGATCTTGAGTTAACTATTTCTCCTCCAAATTGTATCATGCTTGCATGCCCTCTCAGATGGCTGAACAGGAATGATGGCCAGTACCCAATAAGAAGTCCTGACCCAAACTCCAGCCACCAGTGTCCATGCTTAGGATCCTGCATTGCATTGCATTGATATATGTATATAATCTTAGCTTAGCACGCTTGTTCAATAAAAATGGGTATGTAGAATTAATTGAATTGAATAGAAATATATATATATATATATATATGTATAAAATAATGCATTATCTATCGACAAGGGCTTAGCTTAGCCAGCTTCAAGCCTTCAATTCGATCTAAAAGGCATTATCTGTGGACATGTATGTAATGTAGTTGATAAATAATATATATTCCGTATTCACTATTCAATGAGCTGATCTGAGATCGATCGTATCCGAGTAGAAATATAATGGAGATGGATGGAGTTGACTAATTAAGGTTAGTTTGGTTAGGTACAGCTAGCTCTAGCCCCTCTAGCTAAGTAGAGAATCTTGCAATATAAATGATTCGGATCCGAGTTTAGTTTAGTTTAGTTTACCTTCCAGATGGTTATGCCAATATCAAATTGTCTGGCATTGTAAGATGATCTGGGTGATATTGCTGCCCCTATAGCAATCCTATTGTTTGTTTGTACAAAGCCGGAGCATAGCAAGTTGTAGCATCCTGTGGTTTGGTATGCATCAGTCTGTACATCATATCATTCACCACCCATGCATTATTATTATATTTATTAATTTAATTCAGATCCATCCATGGAATAATATCAGCCACTATTACCTATTAGGGTGTGTTTGGTTTGGTTCGCACAAGGGAATTGAAATCCGAATAGAATCAAATACTTAGTAATGACAATGTGTTTTGGTTAAAGTATTTTGGTAGTATGGTAAAATTGGAATGATTACCAATAATGATGTTTGGTTAGGTAGAGAATAAAGGTTTTTAAAATATAAAAATAAAAAATTAAGGAAATTGATCCCTAATATAATGACATCCAAAGCATCCAACAAAAAAAAAAAAAAAATCTAAAAGCATTAATCCAAACTTAAAAATCAAAATGAAATGATACACGCTTTTAATTAGGGAATGAGATTTTTAATTGAATGTGTAATTAAATTCTATAGTTGTATTTTAAAAATTATCAACCAAACACTAACTATAATTTTGATTCACATTCCTGTGTAAACTCATGAACCAAACACACCCTTAGTTTTTTAGAACCATATATATACATACCGATATACTTATAATACTTACCGTCCAATATGTGAAGAACCTGGGGTAGTTATCTCCATATAATCCGGGGCTCACCTGAATACCAACGTAATATATACACCATATTAATTAATTAGCTAATTAAGCTAGCTAGATCCATCTCCATTATCAAGTAACTGTAGTGATATATCTAATGCTACAATTAAGTAGCCAGGTTACTGCGGGCGTCATGTATATGCATATATATAAAAGTAGGTAGGTACGTACCTGCCAACCAGCTTCAATGGTGTTAAGATCATTGCCAAATGTGCCAGAGATGACCCATATTTGTGACAGACTGAATTCATATTGGTCCGTCACCCTAGGTGTCCATACATTTATGTTGGCTTTGGCTCCATAGTACTCATCTCCATTTACAAAAGCTACCGCATGCTGGATATATGTCATGAATTCAAAAACCTTATGTATGTATATATGAAAAAACCTTTATATATATAGCTTCTTTTTTTTTTTTTGTTAATCTTTAATTTGCCAATTAAAACCGTAGGTACCAGTATATATTTGCCAATTAAACATGAAGGTAGCTAGCTTGCTTCTTAATTATATATATTAATTAATTATTACCTCATGATCACTGCTCATAGTGTCTCGGCGCACTCTTCTAATTATTTTCCTTCCAAATCTCCGGACTGAGCTGGCTCTTAACACATCCTTCTCTCTAGTTCTTCTTATAGGAACAGTCCCTTCCGGACATGATTCCCCGAAATCTGACCACCGCTGAAAACTCTCTTCCATTGCATCATTATTAATGTTATTATTGGAGGTGTGACCTTTGGGCCTCTCGGGAGGTTCCTAATTTGATGTAATTAAGAACAACTAACATAAAAAAGAATATTGCTTGAAAATATATATGCAATGTTGGACACGCCGGAAGAAAAAGCCATGCGGCCGCCGGTCAAAACAACACACACACATATATATATATATATATAATGCCATTGAATTATTGGGTTAAGTAAGTGGTACGTACGTACCAGTGGTTTCTTTCCTCTTAGCTCAGGATGGTCGAAAGCCGGTTGAAGATGAGATTGAACGCAATCTATTAGATCCCCATCTGGACTCTGCAACAAAATTAAATTAAAGACCAGACCCCACTCATCTCATCAACAAAAACCTACTGGATCACTTCATCTTGGAATGGAATGAATTAATTAAAACAAATTAAAGCAACAATATAATAATCGAATATATATAATAATGCCTGAATTGTCTTCACTGCGGGCTTGTTGATCTTCTTAAGGTAAGCTCTTATTCTCCTCAGCTTCATTGTTTCTTGCCTTGGTCGGAAAGTTTGGTTTGCCAATATATGACGATGATCATCGCGGCCGGAACTAGTGTCAGAGATGACGACAGGGCAAAATGAAGAAAGAAGCAAGAAAGCAACAAATAATAATGTAGAAATGACTACAGGAAATGTTTTCTCAGTATTAACCGCGCCCATGTTTTTGTATTCTTCTTCTGTGGATGTTTGTTGTGCTAAGACGACGACGGATTTTGTGTTTGGATGCATTGAGGTTGTCTTCTACTGTAACCACAACAGCAGGGTTTATTCCAAAATTTTGTCCATGGAAGCAATGATACTGTTTCTGTTTCTATCAACAAATCCATACAAAACAAAACAACTAACAGAGGTAGTAGATAGTAGGAAAGATTCAAAAGAGAGAGAGTTCAGACAGAGTCACTGCCTCACCATTTTCAACACTTTGAAAAAAGAAAATATTCAAAAGAGGCCAGGCCAGGATGGACTCAATTTGACAGATCGATAAGAACGAACAACTGTGTTTTTATATTTATTTTTTTAAAGTATATGTGTCTTGGTGTTGTGTTCTGACACCACCAGACTTAGGCTGAGCATATATTAAAGTTGAGGAAAGATTAGAGTGAGGTAAGTCATATGTGGGGTTAACCCAATAAAAACAGATTAGTCAATAATTAATTAATATAGGCCGGGGCTACTAATTACCTATTCAACATTTTATTAATTGCTCCGTATATAATATATTATGTATAGTTGTATACCTATACAGTCAGACATTGAGTATATAATTTTTACAATATGAATGCTGTAGAATTTTCAAAGATACAAATACTTTTTTTTTTAACCCAGCTTTTTTTAGCTATAGTGAATGCATGCTAATTAATTAACATTAGCTCAAGCCATTAAAGTTAGGATATTTAATTTAGAAAATGCATATATGTGTGTGTACGTGTAATTTTGGTTTAGGATGCAGTTATCTACGCAGCTTGAAAAATGATCATATGATTATCAATGCCATGCATTTTCAACATTCAAATAATAATAACAACATCAACATGGTAGGTGGTGGAGTAGAAGAGGATGGTCCATAGTAGGGACATTTGGTTTTGGTGGACCATAGTAATCAAAATTTAATTGAAAACATACATATAATAATTTTATTACGATCCAAGTCAACAATTTTTATGCTATTTTGAAAGAAAATTCATAAAAAGTTTAAAGTAAAATACTATATATATAATGCATGCAATGGACCTGCAGGATATATAGTGGATGGTGTTATGTTGCGGGCATAAAGTAAATTAAAGTATGCTTGCTCCCAATGTGCAAGTATTTGTCTTTTCTTTTATCAGTTAGTGGCAATAATTATAGGAATAAGGTTGAAATTGGCCACTGAACGTAACCTGAAAATGCAATTAGGCCACTGAACGAAAAAAAAAAGTGCAATTAGGCCATTGAACACTCAAAAAATGTGCAATTAGGCCACTGAACTCTCCAAACGTATGCAATTTTACCGGATAGCAGGTTACCATCAATTTTAGCAGGTATGCTTACGTGGCAGCTTAGTTGGCATTTTTAATAATTTTTAAATAATTTTTAATAATTAATTTAATAATAAATTTTATAAAAAAATTGGAAAAAATTAAATAAAAAATAAAATAAAGTTATTTTTATTTTTTTAAAAAAAATTAATAAAAAATTAATATTAAAATTTATTAAAAATTAATTAAAATTTATTAAAAATGCCAACTCAGCTGCCACGTAAGCAGATAACCTGCTAAAATTGAGATTAACCTGCTATCAGGTGAAATTGCACATTTTGGGAGTGTTTAGTGGCCTAATTGCACTTTTTTTTTTCGTTCAATGGCCTAATTGCATTTTCAGGTTACGTTCAGTGGCCAATTTGAACCTTATTCCATAATTATATAATACACTACTTTTATTCATTTAGATAGATTAGGAGGCTTTAAATGCTCATGCAATTTATAAGCGCATATTTGGTTCATGGAAAATGTTTTCTCTAAATTTGAGGATTTTTTTTTTTTTTTTTTTTTTTGGTTCAAGAAAAATATTTTCTTTAAAAATAGAAAAACATTTTCCATGGCCTCCTTTGGTATTTTGTTTTTCATAAAAAACTAGTAGGACAATTATGACCTCAATAACTTTTCTTAATTACCATTATTATTATTGTTGTTGTTATTATTATATAGGGATATTATTGTCTTTATACTCATTATTTCTTACAATTCTAAACTCAACCGAAATCGATATTTCCAGTAATTTATTTTTCACCAACCAAATAATGTAATTAATCTTTCCGATAATTTCTTTTTCATAGAATTTCAATTTCATTTCTCCTCAAATATTTTTCGCAAACCAAACGAGGCCTAAGAGTGTAAGGTGGGGAATCCAACTGAATTGGTAGAGTTATTGGTTTGATAATTACAATGTTTCAAATTTGACTCGCGGTGTGAGGATTTATCGGTATTTTCCATTTAAATCGGTCACCTATGGACAACCTAAATTATTTTATTTTCTTATAATTTTTTGTTAGTTAAAGTCACAAGGCGACCCAAACTCCTAAAATGCACATTCAGGTATTGGTTATGGACTTTTCAGTAAATCAAAGTATAAGAGTGCAGGATGAAATTTTCAATTCAATCAATTACATATACACACACCAGTGACACCACAAAACATGTCTGATATATTAGCAGAGTGGTAGTTGATGTTTATTAGTGTAAGGACAATGACTATTTATTTGTTTGAAGATATACAGAATATAAAGAATGAAAATGAAATTGGAGACAAGTGTGACTGACTATTTTGCTGAGAAGGTGACTAGAACAGCGATATGATGATTTCTCATCCAACTTAACTAAATGCCCTAATCTTCAATCCGAAATACCAATGTTAGTTTTTTTTTTTTTTTTTTTTTTTTTTTTTTTTTTTTTAAATTTTGTTATAGTACTATTCACTATGTTACAATGTTGTATCTGTTCATAATTACTTTCTAAACCTACTGAAGCACAAATAGTCAATACCGCTTCCACTAAAGTTCAAACACACAACCTTCCCATATAGACAGGCTCGAATATACTTTTTGAGCAACTTAATACTACTAGACCACACGGTTATTAGAAAATATCAATGTTAGTTGAGTATGCAGAACGTCTCCATCAATTATTATATACTCCGTCTGTAAATCATACGTATATCCAGTCTTATGTTCTCATTACATGATACTCTCTTTGTCTCATTTTATATGTCCTACTTACTATGTCAAATTAGTTTTTTATTCTTTCTTTTTAAGTATTTTTATTTATTTTTAAATTTGATTTTTGTGTTTAATAGTACTTTTAGTGTAATTTTTAAATATATAAATTTTGTACACTAATACTAAATTTAATATTATAAAAAATTAAATTAAAAATAACTCCAGTCAAATATCATGAAATCATACACATAAAATAGGACGAAAGGAGTAGATGATTTCTTTTTTTTTTAAATACAAGCTTGCTTACTTTATTGGATTCAAATATAATGGGGTAGGATTAATATACGAAGAAAATGGGTAGCATGTGGTAACGCAAGCATGCGGTCGGATGGCACAAAGGTATATATGTACAGTATGGCCCCTAGGAAAAGGTGGTGTACCTGCTTCAGCCCTTTATAGGCGCTGGAGAGTGGGGCACTGATGTGCTGCCTTTATTGCTTCCCACTTCACTTTAACTCATCAAGCTGTGAACCACTACCACTCCATCTATCTACTTATATATATATATATATATATATATATATATATATATATATATATATATATATATATATATATATATATATATATATGATGAGAAGTATAAATAAAATATCAGTCTTCTTATTATCAGAAAGCTAAGTCGTCTCACTCAAAGTAACATTCCAGATGCAAATAATAAAGCTAGCAGGGGAATCATATCCTAGTTAGTGTATATATGATATATTTTAGGGACAGTACCACTGGAACTGGCACAGGCACAGGCACACACACATATATAAATATAATGTCAGTCAGTCTCATTTCAAAGATTATTATATTACGCAGTGTTTCAATAACCTCTGTTGTTCTGTTTACATCATGCACGCTTCCTTTAATTTGAAGTTGCCCTGCCCTGCTGGCCTGCTATTAGATTCCCTCTCACTCACCACTAACATTACTTTTCTATTTTATTTTTTAAAAAAAAAAAACTTTACTTCTTACTATCAACTTTTACTCATTCTCACAAATTATTGATACAAATACTTTTATGAGGCTCGCATGATAAAAATATCATATCCTTGTTTGTCACATCGTGAAGTAAAAGTAAGAATCTGTAGACAAATCCAAGAATGATTCCAACTCCCATAAGAACCATGTCACAGGTAAGAATTTGTGGACAAATCCAAATTCAAAGTAGATCTAACGGTTTAAAATACATAAAAAAAACAAATTAAATCATTTTTATAAAATATTATAAATTTTATTTTTTAAAATATTTATAAAAATAACTCCGATCTTTTGACTTGATTTCCTAATTTCTATCCATATATAATAAAATATAATAAATAAAAGGATCATATTTATGATGAAAACGGCCTCCTTAAATATATAAATGCAGGTTGATGTATTTGGTCCACATGATCGATATTTAAATCACTTGAATTTTCTTCAAACAAAAAAAAAAAAAAAAATCACTTGAATTAGCAATTAAGCTGATGGACGCAAAAAGATCGGTATGATATTATTCTGATGGCAGCAGTTATATCATGAACCTGATCTAATACACAATTTACATACTGAATATTTAAAATTTGAATTGTAAATATTTAATATGTAAAAATTATAAACATTTAATATGTAAATTTTGTATTTTTAAATCTAAATCCACCTTACAATGTGGACCCGGATTCACATAATAATTTGCCTTATGATGGCCTGTCGGTCACCACAGACTCAAAGCAAATTAAAGCAGGGCAATTAATATCCTACACCATGGTGCGCGTTGCACTGTGCGCCCAGATGCAAAACGACGTTGTTTTAATTTTATTTATTTTTTTTTTGAAATTTCCCGCCCCAGTGAATGGCAGTAATTTTTTCTTAAAAAAAAACCCGTTGTTCAAAAATATACATAATATTATACTAGAATACACATAATTGTATACATGAATGTACATAATTATAAACAAAATATACATACTCTTTTTAAAAGATAATACACATAATCTAACATAATACATAATAAAGATAAACTTTTAACATAATACACATCAACTCTTAATATAATAAACACAAATTTTCTGATTCGGATCTACATAATTGTATAAAAAGAATGTACATAATTGTATAAAAAATGTACATAATGAACAAATACACATAATTGCATGAACAAGTACACATAATTATGTGAACAAATACACATAATCACAGCAACTTCTTACCATGCCTCCCAAAATTGATCACAAAACTACGTCATTTTGGGAGGCGCACAGTGCTACGCGCCCCGTGGTGTAAGGTATAATGATTGTTAAAGCAATGCAAGCATTATATTGATTTGGACTTGGATGGACTATTTTGGCATAAGCCTTCCATCTCATGCAACTCTATAGGCCGGCCGGCCCAAGTCATACCATTACACCAACATTTCACACACAAACACACATAACTATAACTAGTTTTTTTTTTTTTTTTTTTTTTTTTTCAAACACAAAGACAAAACATATCATTCAACTAAACCCAAAGGGTGCCACCACAATGATCGGACTAGCTTTCTTTTGGAGTCTCTCCACCCGGGTTTAACCCCTCATCTCTGTAACCAAAAACTAAATTCAAAGAGAGGGTAATCCAGGTATAACAGATAAAGTCAAGAGGGTGGGCACACCACTCCATACCGCCTAACAAAAAAACAGACTCTCAGTCTATGCTATGAGCAGTCTGATTCGGACTAATAAACCCTGATGATAAATGTGATTAAAGTTCATCAACATTCCATTGATATCATGAATAAGCAAATTAAAGTAAGAGTCCCCATAATTGTTGTTGAAAGAGTTAATAATTTGCAAACAGTCTGTTTTCACCTCGATAATAAAGTCATAGTTTTTATCCTTTAATCTTATTAAAGCTTCACGTACGGATAGCCATAGTTTCTGCTTCGTTGGGATTGAAAATTCCACGCCATGGTAGACTTTTTGCCGCAATAAACTCCCTAGTTGTATTTCTAAGCACGTAGCTAAACCACATTTTGCGTTCTCCCAATATCTCCCCCCCGGTAAACTAGAGTGTGAAGGTCTTGAACACCTAGTTTAGACGTGAAGGTTTGAAAAGATGAGATGGGGAGAGCTTTAGTGAATCCGTCTGCAACTTGAGCTGAGGAGGATACAGATAAAAGCTTGATGACCCCTTGATTGAGCTTCTCAAGCACAATATGGCAATCTATGTCAAAGTGTTTAGTGCGTTCTTGGAACACGTGGTTCTCTCCGATGACAATCGCCGACTTGTTGTCGCAAAACAGAGCGGTCAGTTTGTCTAGTCGTATCCGTAGATCATGCAGCAGCGTCGTAATCCATTGAATTTCACAAACGGTGGCTGCCGGTGCACGATACTCCGCCTCGAATGATGAACAAGAGACGGTCGCTTGTTTCTTCAACCTCCATGATATTAACGCAGACCCAAGGAAGACACAAAAGCCAGTTATCGACCGGCGAGTGTCTGAACAAGTGCCCCAGTCAGAATCTGAAAATACATTGAGATGCATGTCATTTATCTTAGGATAGAACAGGCCCTGGCCAGGAGCCTTCTTAATGTATCGGAGAACTCTATGTGCAGCTGCCAAGTGCTCAGTCGTCGGGGCATCTACGTACTGGCTGAGCTGCTGAACGGCAAAAGCTATGTCCGGTCTAGTTGCGGTGAGGTAGAGCAACCGGCCAACAAGTCGCCTGAAACTGGAAGCATCACTAAGAATGGTGCCTCCGTCTTTGGTGAGCCTAGCACCGAGGACCATGGGAGTGTTGACGGGCTTACAGTTAATGAATCCTGCTTCATCAAGAATCTCAAGAGCATATCTTCTTTGGCATAAGTTCAATCCTGATTCCTCCATTCGAGCCTCAATCCCCAAGAAATATCCCAAGGGTCCAAGGTCCTTAATCTTGAAGGTTGTATGCAGGAATGCCTTGAGTTCTCATATCAATTGCAAAGTGGAACTCGTGACAAGTATGTCATCGACATATATGAGAACAACCATGAAATCAGTATCTTCCCCCCCTTGTAAACAAAGATGGGTCAGAGGTAGACTGTGTGAAACCTATTTGAATTAAAGCATTGCTTAGTTTGGCATTCCATTGCCGGCTAGCTTGCTTTAAGCCATATAGGGGCCGTAGTAACTTGCACACCTGCCCCGGTTTTTCGCCTTGGAACCCGGGTGGTAAGACCATGTAGACCTCCTCATCTAAATCTCCGTGGAGGAATGCATTGTTGATGTCTAATTGGTGGATATGCCAATCCTGAGAAGTTGCCATAGCTAGGAATGTTCGAATTGTGGTGATTCTAGCAACCGGGGAGAACGTTTCAATATAGTCTACCCCTAGTTGCTGAGTGTATCTCTTGGCTACGAGTCTAGCCTTATGGCGTTCGACTGATCCATCGGCTCTAAGCTTCACCTTATTGACCCACTTGCATCCTATAGGATGCTTCCCGGAAGGTAGATCGACAATTGTCCAAGTGTTGTTCTGCTGCAAGGCTTTGATTTCTGCATCCATTGCCTCTCTCCAACACTTATGTTGTATGGCTTGCTTATAGGTACGTGGCTCATCAATAGAGGTAACTGCCAAAGCAAATCTCCGGTGTGGCAAAGAGAGATGATTGTATGATATGACCTTAGAGAGAATGTGAGGTGATGAACCTTGGATCATAGTAGAGTCACAGTAATAGTCTAGAAGCTTGGTTGGGGCATGGCGACAACGATCTGATCTTCTTGGTTGTATGACAACCTCTTGGTTAGTGTGACTGGCAGAGTCATGAGTGCTGCAAGGTTGTGGCACACTATTATCCACTGGTTCATGTGACATGCTAGGGTCTAGCAGTTCAAGAGGAGCATTAAAGGCAGATGGTTCCTGAGGCGTATCATAGTCTGTTAAGGCGTGTGAGATTCCAGTACCTGCTGGTTCATGCGGTACATTAGAACCTGCTGGACTATGAATGTACTGAGTCTGATCATATAGCTCCAAATCAAGATTCAAAGAGGTAGGCACGTTGGGAAGTGATGGTTCATGTGAAGGTTGCTGATCCGGATCACCTTTGTCTGTCATGGGAAAAGAAGATTCATAGAAGACCACATCCCTTGACACAAAAATAGAGCCATTAGCCAGATTATACAATAAGTAACCTTTGATACCAGCTGGGATACCCACAAAGATACACTTCTGTCCTCTTGCTGCCATTTTATGCCTATTAGTGTTGAGAGTGGCAGCATAGCATAGGCAACCAAACACCCTAATGTTGCTGATATCAGGATCATTTCCATACAGCCTCTTATAGGGGTTTGAGAGCTCAATGACATGTGAGGGAATCCTGTTTATAATGAAAACTGCATGCATAATACAATGTCCCCAAAATTCTAAGGGGAGATTAGCTTGAAAACGTAAAGATCTAGCAACATTAAGGATGTGTTGGTGTTTACGCTCTACAATGGCGTTTTGTTGCGGTGTATGAACACAAGATCGTTGATGAATGATCCCTTTTTCTAAGAAAAAACTTTCCATTTTAAATTCTGCCCCATTATCACTTCGGATTGTTTTGATCAAGGTGCCAAATTAAGTGAAAGCATAGGCATGAAAGTTCTTGATAAACTGCCTTGTCTCAGACTTATTCTTCATCATATGTATCCAAGTAAATCTAGAGTAGTCATCAACTATTGTCAAGAAGTAATAGTCTCCTTTCAAAGAACAAACAGGAAAGGGTCCCCAAATGTCAATATGAATCAAATCAAAACATGCTTTTGAATTAGAGACACTTATTGGAAATGGAGAACGTTTGTGCTTAGCTAAATGACATATATCACAAGCCATATCTTTATTTCTAGGAATATCTATATCACATAAGAGATGGAGTTTGTTCATTGGGAAATGCCCCAATCTTTTGTGCCAAATTTCTAGACCGATGCATTGCATGACATAGTTTTTGGTTCACCTGGATGGTTGCATCAAATATAGACCTCTTTCCTCTTTAGCTAATCCAACTATCTGCCCAAGCCTCCCCTGAATCAAGCACTGTTTGGACACGAAAGTTAGTTTATAAGCAGCATCATTAATCAACTTGCTCACGGAAATGATGTTGAACTTGAATAGGGGGATGTATAAGGCTTCTTTCAACCGTAGGGTGTCACTGAACCTCACATCTCCTATGTGTTTGACTGAAACACACTGCCCAGTAGGAAGATTAACTTCAACTCCATTGGCCTCACGGCAATTATCAAGAAGGTCAAGAGAAGAGACAATATGATTTGTAGCTCCTGAGTCAAGAATCCAAGTAGAGTTATTTAAAGAGAGGGAGTTAACCAAATACTTGCCTTCAGATGTGTGTGGTTCATCAAATCTTGGAGACAATGTGATTGCAGCAGACAAGCTTGAGCCAGATGATCCAGCTGTTTGGCTCATTTGATTATGCAAATAAGAGAGCATCTTCTGCAGTTGTTCAGAGGAGAATCCTAGATCACCAGCAGTGTTCATCGCAGTTGTAGCTTGTTGCTGCTTAGCTTTGGATTTATAACCCTGCACCCAACCGGGAGGGTAACCGTGCTTCTTATAGCACTTATCAATGGTGTGTCCAGTCATTCCGCAATAAGTGCATTTTGCCTTCACCATTAAAAGAGCCATGAACAACTGCTATTATCTCATCATTCATGGAGCCTTGCACAGCATTGGCTTGAACAACCTCTGGACCTGCTAAACTTAGATTGGTTAATGTGATTTGCCTTTCCAGTTTTTCTACCATAACAAAGATCTTATAAACCTCTGGTAAAGGATCTAAAACAAGCACATTAGATTTTAGGCTATTGTAATCATCATTAAGCCCCTGTAGGAATCGAATCACTTGATCCGTGTCTCTTTCTTTTCTGATGATGTCAGCGAGGTCACAGCTGCACCTGGGATCACATTTACAAAGAGGAAACGGCCGCAATGTGTTCATCTCCTCCCACAACGTTCTGCATCTAGTGTAATAATCACTGACGGAAAGAGATCCTTGTTTCAAGCCATAGATCTCAGACTGCAAGCTCGAAATCTTATGTGCGTCCTGTTGTGAGAACCTACGTCTCAGATCCTCCCAAATGCTTTTTGCATTGTCAAGATGCATTACGCTTTGTGCTATGGAGGGATGCACAGACTTGAAGATCCAAGAACAGATCATCAAGTTGCATCGTCTCCAAGTAACGTAGAGGTTGTGCTCTCTGTTCAGTGGTGGAGTGCTTCCATCGACGATCGTCCACTTGTTCTTCACTTCTAAGGCGATCTTCATCGATATACTCCAACTGCCGTAGTTCGCGCTTCCAGACAACGCCGGACTGACGAGAACCGCATACGTACTATCACTGGAACTGAGGAACAGAGGATTTTCCAACTCGTAGATGTAATTTCTCTCGGATCGAAAGGGACTCCCCTGCGGAATCGCTCCTAGAGCAATTTGGCCTGGTGTTTGCGCAATCGGTGAAGATGCGTTCGTTCCCTGGCTGGTTTCACCGGCGCTGGTGACGGCGGCGGCGCAGGTGGTACGCCACTGCTCTGATACCATGTCGACTAAGCTAACATTTAGAAGATGGAAGGAGAGAAAGTGTTTATTCAGTAAGTAACTGGGAAAAGATTATACAGATTACAAAGGAGCTCGTTTATATACACTGCTATGACGTAACCGCTCCTAACTAACTTGGTATTGTGAGATTACACAAAAACCCTTTGGCACATGCAGCAGCATCATTGCGTTCTCCCAATATTTTATACAATTCTATTACTTTAAAATTTATATTCTTTTATACCATTTTATTCTCTGAAAAAAAAAAGTTGAATTTGACCCAATTTAAAATAACAAAATTAATAATTTTATTACTTTAAGGACTAACAACATTATAATCAGTTTTCAAAAACAATATATATATATATATATATATATATATATATATATATATATATATATATATATATATATTATCTTAACAATGTTGTGATTTGTGAACGGTGTTGTCAAATGTCAATGTCAATCTATAGATCAAAGCTGCAAGAGGTTGGAGTTTTGTGATAAGTATTTATTTTATATTTGTATTCCAAGTCCATTGCCCTATTGACACAGCACACTTATTAGAGTTGACCACCAATTGCAATTGGTATTCCTGTACGTAAAACCTCATGCTTCACAAGTAATATATATGTCGGCGCCAATATATGTGTGCTTGACTGCTCGCTATAAAATTGGCACATACATATGTGAGATCTAAATATAATTTAACTATATAGAAAATAATTACGAGAAACTTAACTCGTAGTAGTAAAAGTGGAAGCACTGTAGATCTTCAGCCATGGTTAATATCATGTTGTATTGCCTCTTGAACAGTAATGGTAGGGAATATCCCGACCGACATAGTTTTACCCCGATCCGTGTGCCTTCGTCCTTTTCTTCTTGTCTTTGCAGGTAACAGGTCGGGTTTCTTGTGAAAGACCCGGTCGGGACACGACCGGGAGTTACCCGAGCGGGAGTGTCGACCACTGAGCGGTAGCTCTTAGGCGAGAGAGCCACGAAGGATACGTGGCGGCTCCATGCAGCGACAGGCAGGGCACCCGGGAGGATGACACGTGGTGGCTACGTGGAGGACATGCCGAACGGTCGGATTTGTGTCTCCTGCTCCGCGGCTATAAATACCCGCGATAGCTAAGTGGGAGGGACTTTTGGACGATCGAAGGTTGTTGTTAGAGAATCCCGACCGCAGTCAGTCGGCACTCAGAGCAACCAAGTAGATTGTACTTAGGGTCTTCACCGTGATCAATAAAAGACATTTATTTGCTTTAATTGGTCTCGTATTTACTTAATTACTGCGTACGTGGCAATTATCAGTATCAAGTAAATTTGCAATTATCTCATACTTGACTCATAATCTTAGATGGTGTATTGATATTTTCTAAGCAGTATGAGTACCATATAATGTATCATGTATCTTGTATCACATCAATAAAGGCTTTATATAGGCACATTGGTGGAATACAGACTTAAACCTAAAGGTCCAACCCAACCAATTACTAATAGGCCTAGTCCACTTGCACCACATAAGTAAGACCCATAATATATAATATATATTATACGGGAAAGTCTTACAGTCTCCCACTTGATGCAAGTACTAGCAAACTCTCATCAAAGAACAAAACACACGAACCATAGTAATATGTCCTCTACTGAATAAGTGAGTAATATCTCCTATGATCACATTGATTTTGATTTCCCAACTTGAATCCTTTATGAACAAACCCAATGTTTATTCTTGGTATCTTAATGGATGTTTCTCAAAATAAAATATATATGAGCAACTGAAGAGAGAAAATTATCCAAATTGTACAAAACAGTACACCGTATGATCTCTAAGATCCTTAAAAGCATGCCTTAAGTAGAGATCTCTTAATATTAGTATAATGCTAACTATATTTCATGACTTATTTATAACTTAACTTAAGCACTACCTCTAACGGCTAAGAGCTTGGAGTTGACACGTCTGTAAAACCTCATGCTTCACAAGTAATATATATGTGCTTGACTGCTCGGTATAAAATTGACACATACAAATATATTATGAGAAAATTACACTTTTGATCTTATGACTATTAAGGTCTTGTTAATTTCAATTCACGATTTTAAAAACTAATAATTATGCAATTTTTATAAGATTTAATTTAGTTCATCTGGCCAAATTGGCAGCTAATTATTTGAAATCATTTTAATCCATTTTAATTTATTTATTTCAGGGGCAAATCGATCATTCTAGAGTTTTCTTTTTTCTTCCTTGGACTTGCTTACGGGAGTCTCACTTTCGTTACGCCCGGGTTATGACCTTCTCCTTATCTATCGCTGCCGTCGTCGTAAATCTCAGGCTTGAAAAGCCACCTAACATATTTGCTTTAGCTTTTATCCTTTTTTTTTTCAAATTCAAAAGCTTATGAAATATTAACTTCCTAAAAATCAAGAGCCAAATCTGTGTAATCTATTATGGCATTATGGATTGTAAAGGGAGATTAGGTGGTCCATTTGGGCAAAAAATAATGCTTGCACCGCTGCAGTCCAAGACTCAGCACTCTGTTGGCACTGATTGAATCATTTATGAGATATTTTTCTGTTTCTTATTTGTCTCAAGTAAAGTTGTAATTATGTCCCTGCTAATTGTTATTTAGTTTGATTATCTCAAGAGTTTGGAGATTGAGGAGAAGATTGACAGGATTCAGTGGTGCCAGACAGCTAATGGTGCCCTATTTGTTGTGTCCACCAATTTACGACGACGAAGGCAACAGAGAAGGAGAAATTCATAACGCCGGTGCAAGGAAAGTGAGGTTCCGGCCAGCAGGTGCAGGAAAGAAGAAGAAAGAATCTAAAATGTCGGATTTATCCCTGAATTAAACAAATTAAAATAGATTAACGGTAACAATTGGCCGGATAGACCAAATTGTTAAAATTTGCATAATTACAGTACTAAATTGTTAGTTTTTAAAGTTGTTGATTAAAATTAATAACGACAAAAGTGTAATTTTATCCATATATTATACATATTCTATGGAAAATGGAATCATATTCCATTCACATTAGCAAGTAAAGCCATTGGAATTGGATGCCACTTAATTTACTTAAAGAATATATCATAGTCTGCGTGGGTCCTCTGATCTTCTTCTATGTTGATGTTCCCTAGCTAGTACTCTGATCTACAAGCTAATTTAAGCGATAGATGCACGAATGAAGGAACTTTAATTTCAAGCGCGGGAGACTGGAGAGCGATGGGTAGTATTTTTTCCTTGGCAAAATCTCGTAAACAGAGCAATACTGCTTCAAGCAGAAGCCCCGGAACAACGTCAACAACCCGTGCATCATCGTACCGTGGACAAACCCAACCCCCTGGTTCTCGTAATAATAGTTTTACTTCCCTCCGGCGAACCCTTTCTTCCAAGATGGCAAGCAGTAGCGTCGGAAAAACCGAGGAAGCTGAGAAGAAGACGAGGGCGAAGAACAAGTACCAGTACATCCCTGATAACTTCACTTCCCTTGATCAGGTTGCTTCACAAATCTTTTTTCTTTTCCAGAAGAAAATGTTACTACTTACTACCCATGGCACTTGAAGCCGTTCATAATCTAAAATTATATACTCCGTAGTCCATAATAATTAAAAATATATACGGATTAATTTGCCAAAAATATATCATATCATTGCATGCATGGCTCTGATCTACATGCAGATTACAGCAGCCTTGAGGGAATCAGGTCTAGAATCATCAAATCTAATTATTGGTATTGACTTCACAAAGAGTAATGAATGGACAGGTTGGTCGAAATGTCAATTGATCGATCGATTTCATTCATTATATTCCAGTGTATTGTGGGCATGCATATATGCATGCCGCATGCGACTTATATGTTAATTCATCTTTTCACCATATGCATATATGGATTATTTCGATCTGATCTCTTGCTGAAGGCAAAGTGTCATTCAACAATAGGAGCCTCCATACAATTGGTGAGCAGCCTAATCCATATGAGAAAGCCATATCTATTATTGGGAAAACACTGGCTCCACTTGATGAAGACAATTTGATTCCCTGTTTTGGGTTTGGTGATGGTAATTAATTAATTAAGCTAAGCTTCCCAATTTACAATCTTGGATTGGATTATATTGTCGTCTGTTTTAATTTGTTCTTACCGGCAGGCTGCAGGCCTTTACCAAATTTAGTTTAATTTGCATCCATTGCTTCTTGTGGCAGTGGGTACACATGACCAACAAGTGTTCAGCTTTCACTCTCATCATTCCCCTTGTCATGGCTTTGAAGAAGTCTTAGCTTGCTACAGGAACAACGTCTCAAATTTGAAATTATCTGGTATTATACAATATATTTATAACTATGTCAGTATGTTTTTGTAACTATGTCAGGAACTATGCCCGGCCTTTTATTTCTTTAAATTAATATGTTAGTATCTTTGTATTGTATATTAGCTAGAACGTAACCATTATTTATATATAAATATATTCTAAAGTAGTTCGTAGTATAAATATATATATAATTATATATGTGTGTTGAAGGGCCAACATCTTATGGGCCAGTCATAGATGCTGCAATAGACGTGGTGGAGAAAAGTGGCGGGCAATTCCATGTCCTGGTTATTATAGCAGATGGGCAGGTTAGATCTAACACCCAGCTAGCTAGCCTACAGGCCAGGCTACATATATACATTATCGATCTCCAGGCCGGCCGGCCATCTCTCAGCATATATACGAGTTTCATCTGTATCCAAGCACCTTACTTTTTGTCATGATTCGTGAAGGTTACAAGAAGTGTTAATACAAGGGATACAGAACTCAGCCCTCAGGAAGAGAGAACTATTTCTTCTATTGTCGATGCAAGGTATGTACACCATCCACTCAAGGCGCGGAGAAACATTATATTGTGTATATATGTGCTGTTTGATCAGAATATATTTGTATCTGTGGATTGAACACACAACACACACATATATAATTAATGCTTCAACAGTTGCAGCTATTTTCCTATATATATATATATATATATATATAAAATTCATATTAATATTAATGAAGTAAGAATTATAAAAATGATATATTACTAAATATAATTATGGTAATATTTAATTAAAATCTAAATAAAATCAAACTTACCAATTGAAGAAGGTAAGAAAAAGATATTGTGTATGCATGTGCATAATAATTATAATGTGAAAGATAACAGAAGTTATAACGGCAGGGGTATTTTTGTCCAAATAATTATGTAGTACAACATTTATAGCATAAGGTACAAAAAAAATTAACAGAAAAAACGGACATAAAATCAAGGACATAACCTGGATTAAAACTTATTATGTTTTTAGATATATATATATATATATATATATATATATATATATATATATATATATATAATAGGAATAATGAGTCAAATCTTTATTATATTATGAATACTAAACACAATCCTTATTAAACTCATAAATTATTCAGTACTGTATATTCTTTTTGGACTTTCTTAGCTACTTTTTGAACCGGTATATATAGAACTTACTTTGTTTTCTTTATTTCTTCTTTGTTGATAGTTGATTGAAAAGCTAGCAACTAGCTACATGAGTACACATTATTCATTATACTAGGTATTGTTACTATACAAACAAGTTATTGGAGAAGACTAAAACGCCCCTAGTTAATTTGGTAAAGTGAGGGCATTCTTGTAATTGACCTTATGAAGGCAGTTATAACCATTTCTTGGTATGACTTTGCCTGAAGGATAAATTGGTTGTAATGAGCTGCTGCTTGGTTCAATAATGAAAATCAACTTTCTTCCGTTTCTCTCTTCTCTTCTTTCTCTCATTCGCTCAGCACTGAGATCGCGACATGGTATCAGAGCCACGGCGAGCAAGTTACGCCGCCACAGTTAGTGGCTCCGGCGAGTCAAGTCAAGCAGTTCGTGCAGGATCTCCGATCATCGGATCTCCCGTTCGCGCACCTCAGACGATCAACACACAGAGAGTTCCGCAGAGGAACAACTCGAATGAAGACATAGACAATCCCCTGTATCTGAACGTTAATGAGAATGCCAACGCGATTCTCGTCAGTCCACCTCTTGCCGGCAGCGGAAACTACGGCTCATGGAGCATCTCCATGCGCGTCGCCCTTGAAGTGAAGAACAAATGGGGCCTAGTCGACGGAAGCTTCCAGGCGCCGGAATACAGCCATGCTCAGTACGGCGCTTGGAGAAGATGCAATCTCATTGTCAAGGCGTGGATCCTGAAGTCCGTCAACACATCCATAGCGCAAAGCGTGATGTATATGGAAGAGGCCAAGGAAATCTGGAACGATTTAAGAAGACGATTCTCACAACGAGATGCACATCGCATCTCGTCTCTGCAAAACGAAATTTATGGCTTGAGACAGGGAAGTATGACGGTTAATGATTACTACACTAGCTGCCGGACTCTCTGAGAGGAGATGAATGCTCTTCGTCCCCTTCCCATCTGTAAGTGTGTTCCACGCTGCTCGTGTGATTTAGTAGACGAAATCAGGAAAGACAGAGAAATCGACCAGATCATTAGATTTTTGCAAGGTTTAAATGAGGAATACAACTCTCTGAAATCCGGAGTCCTTGTGCTTGATCCCCTTCCCGAGTTACACAAAGTATTTGTGATGGCCGAGAAGTTTGAAAGGCAGCTTAACATCACCAATTTGAACACCATTGGATTAGAAATCGCCCACGCTAACGCAGTAGAGACTGGACAGAACCAGTCTAATGACTTTAATGCTACTGTTAATTTTGTCAATAACAGGAAACCAGTGAACATGGGAGGAGGATCTAAGAACACAGCTAGGTGCACCTTCTGTGGCATGAGTGGACATACAATCGAGAAGTGTTACAAAAAGCATGGCTATCCTCCGGGATGGATACCAGGCTATAAGTCTAAAGGCAAGCAGCAGATTTCTAATGCAGTGTTCACACCTCAGTCCGAGAACATCCCAGCTAATCAGATCCAAAGCCTTATTTCTCTCCTCCAAAACCAGTTGGGGAACAATCAACACTCTAGCACCGCTGCGGTAACTTTGGTCCCTAAATTCAATACTGACAACAGTGGGAATGAAGGCAAGTTTTCTAAACTTACTCAGATTAACTCAGTTTCTATGTCATCTACATGGATTGTGGACTCAGGTGCTACTGACCATATAATTTGTTCCCTTGAGTTCTTTAATGACTATCAAGCAGTAGAAGGAGTCATGGTTAACTTGCCAAATGGGAACAGTGCCACTGTTAAACATATGGGCAACATAAGGCTGAAAAACAATTTGTGGCTGTGTGATGCTTTGCATATTCCATCATTTAAATTCAACATTATATCTGTGAACAAGTTGCTGAAAAATTCCTCTCATCTGTTGATATTTGCTTATGCTCAGTGCCTTCTAGTGGACCATGGGAAGATCAGTGGATTTGCTAAAGAAGAGAAAGGATTATACTTCTTGAATGAGCCACCAGTTTCTAATGTCAATTCTATTGTTTTTGATAATTCTCTTATGCAATGTAATAATGTTGAGCTATGGCATCAACGGCTAGGACATTTCCCTATTAATAAATTGCACCTTCTTGATATTCCTGTCTCTAACACAAAGAACTTGGTGTGTGATACTTGCCACCTAGCCAAACACAGGAGATCTTCCTTTCCCATGAGTACCAGTAGCTCTATGGCTTGCTTTGATTTGGTCCACATGGACATATGGGGTCCTTTCCCTGTTGAAACCGTAAAGGGGGAGAGGTATTTTTTAACTATAGTGGATGATTACTCTAGACACACATGGTTGAAACTCATGAGACGAAAATCAGACACTCGGGATGAGATCAAGAATTTTTTTAAAATGGTGCATACTCAGTTTGGAGTAATCATCAAGACTGTGAGAAGTGACAATGGTCTAGAGTTCGACTTGAAGGATTTTTTCAACAAGAATGGGACTGTTCACCAGAGATCATGCGTCAATACCCCACAGCAGAATGCTGTGGTGGAAAGAAAACATCAACATATCCTTGCAGTAGCTCGAGCTCTAAGGTTCCAGGCAGGCCTCCCTCTTGAACTTTGGGGTCAATGTGTCATGCATGCAGTGTATCTCATCAATAGATTGCCTTCGGCCATTCTCAATTGGTCGAATCCATATCTGAGATTGTATGGTAAGCCTCCTGACCTTAGCACTTTGAAAGTTTGGGCTGCTTATGCTATGCTGCCACTCTCTCTAACTCTCGACATAAGCTAGCTCCAAGGAGCCGGAAATGTGTTTTTGTTGGTGTGCCTGCAGGAGTAAAAGGCTATATTGTTTTTGATATAGCTGACAAATCCATATTCATATCCCGGGATGTGGTCTTTTATGAGGATAACTTTCCTCTTATTTCTCGGTCCACCCACACCATGGACCCCATGGCTCCATCTCTGCCTATTCTTCCCACAACTGAGAATGTGGAACTTAGGCCTCATACACACCATCAGCCACAAGAGGAACCTGCTTCATCACTTGTACCAGTATCCCATCACAGGAATGAAGCCAATGAGCAGATTTTAAACTCTGGACACAGTGAGCCTAATGTAGTCAGTACTGATCCTGAAGGCAGTACCTCTATCCAGTATCATGCACCTGCTATTGATGATAGCACAAGTGGTTCTAATCCAATTCAGCCTGCCCAAATTCGTCGCTCAAATAGACAAAGGTAACCATCCAGTCGATTGCAGGATTACTACTGTGATAGTGTTATGCATACCAAAACATCACCACATCATTTATCAAAGGTGATGACTCATGATCATCTTGAGCCTTCCCACAGGAGTTTTGCCTTATCGGTCCTTTCAACTATTGAGCCAAAGACTTATATACAAGCAGTCAAGCATGCCTGTTGGAGAGATGCTATGCTCGCTGAAATTACTGCTCTGCAAGAGAACAAGACTTGGCAACTCACTAAGCTACCTCCGGGAAAAATCCCCATTGGTTGTAAGTGGGTCTACAAAGTAAAGTTGAAGGCCGATGGCACAATCGAGAGGCACAAAGCTAGGCTTGTAGCTAAGGGATATACACAGCAACTTGGCGTTGATTACTTGGAGACTTTCTCACCAGTTGCCAGGCTAACAACGATCAGAACCTTTTTATGCATTGCTGCTGCTAGATCTTGGCACATCCACCAGCTAGATGTAAATAACGCATTTCTTCATGGCGATCTAAATGAAGAAGTATACATGACATTGCCTCCGGGATTTGAGAATGGGAAGCAGAATCTGGTATGCAAACTGATGAGGTCACTATATGGTTTAAAGCAGGCTAGCCGTCAATGGAACGCCAAACTAAGCACAGCTCTTATTCACATTGGATTTAAACAATCCAAGGCCGATCCGTCCTTGTTTACAAAGGGTGAAGGACGACAGTTTATTGCCCTCTTGGTATATGTCGATGACATACTAGTCACCTGCGCAGAACTGGATCCCATCCGAAGCCTTAAAAGCTTTTTGGACTCCACATTCAAGATCAAGGATCTAGGAACTTTGAATTACTTCCTAGGGATCGAGGCACACATGACTAATGCAGGTCTAACTATATGTCAGCGTAAATACGCTCTAGAGATCTTGGAAGAGGCTGGTTTCTTGGAGTGTAAGCCTGTTAACACTCCAATGGCTTCAGGCTTAAAGCTTTGCCATAATGAAAGAGTTCCTATCAGCGATCCCGGACAGTATAGGAGATTGGTTGGCAGACTTTTGTACCTCACGGCTACTAGGCCGGATATCACCTATGCGGTACAACAATTAAGCCAGTTTGTTGACATCCCCACGGACGCTCACCTAGCAGCAGCCCATCGCGTCTTGAGATACATCAAGGGTGCACCAGGTCAGGGGCTGTTTTACCCTACACAAACCAGCATGCATCTCAAGGCTTTTTCAGACTCGAACTGGGCAGCATGCACAGAGACACGTAAGTCCATCACCAGTTACTGTGTTTTCCTTAGCACTTCCATCATATCATGGCGTTCGAAGAAACAAGTAACTGTGTCTCGCTCTAGCTCGGAAGCAGAATATAGAGCACTTGCGACTACCGTATGTGAGGTTCAGTGGCTTGAGTATTTACTCCATGATTTACAGCTCACACCAACCAAGCCTGCCACCTTGTTTTGTGATAGCAAGTCTGCGATCGCAATTGCCGAGAATTCCGTCTTCCACGAACGTACCAAGCATATTGAGATTGACTGTCATGTGGTTCGTGAGAAGATAGACCAAGGCTTGATCAAACTTCTTTCTGTTTCCTCCATTAATCAAACGGCAGATGGGTTTACTAAGCCTCTGCCATCTTCTCTGTTTCAGACCTTCAAGGCTAAGCTTGGTGTACATGATCTATATACGCCAAGCTTACGGGGGATATTAGAGAAGACTAAAACGCCCCTAGTTAATTTGGTAAAGTGAGGGCATTCTTGTAATTGACCTTATGAAGGCAGTTATAACCATTTCTTGGTATGACTTTGCCTGAAGGATAAATTGGTTGTAATGAGCTGCTGCTTGGTTCAATAATGAAAATCAACTTTCTTCCGTTTCTCTCTTCTCTTCTTTCTCTCATTCGCTCAGCACTGAGATCGCGACACAAGTAGTAACAACATTTGAAATCGAGCTGAGTTTTACACTTTTACACTTAAACTATTCTCAAACAAAGCAAATTAAAACTGCATATTCATAATAATTGCAACCTGTACCTTTTTTAATAGTGCATATTAAACAATACATACTCCTTTTGTCTTTGTTATCAGTATGTATCCTCTATCTATTGTTCTGGTTGGTGTTGGTGACGGACCTTGGGAAGACATGAAAAATTTTGATGATAGAATTCCTACTCGTCAATTTGACAATTTTCAGGTAGAACTCTTGTATTTGAATTTGTAATATATAGTCTTCAGCTCGCTTGTTCATTGGTTAAGTTTCTAATGACTTGTCAAACACACTCAAGTTGATAGTTTTTTTTTTTTTTAATTTCCTGTGATGTTGGTGCAGTTTGTCAATTTTACTGCCATCATGTCAACATATAGAACTGATTCTGAAAAAGAAACTAGGTTTGCCCTTGCTGCACTTATGGAAATCCCTATCCAGTATCAAGCAGCGAAAGAATTTGGTCTACTAGGGTACGTAGTACAATCATGCAATTTTCAATTCATATTGTGGTTGCCTAGCTAGGTACTATTTAGTGACAGCATCATGTATTATATTCTCAAATTGCCTAACTAGTTTGGCTCTATTGTACATATTTTGAGACAAGCTAGCTAGCTAAGTTTCTCATTTTTATCGTCCATGATTAACCTAAAATTAAAGTCAATGCATGGGTGAGAGTGGAGTGCTTGTGAATTGACTACTACGTACATCAAGCTAATTAAGGCAAGCTAAGGCCTTTTATTCTTATGCTATGCAACTCCATATATATATATATAATGCTCCAATATGATATAAAACCATTTTAATTATATATCTCACACGTTATTTGTATATCATCTGTGCAAAAGGCATGTGACAGGTAAAGCAAAGAAAGTAATTCCACGACCCCCACCTATTCCATATACGCATCGTCAACCAAATAGTCTTTCAACATCTACACATGATGAAGAAACTCAGGTAGCATATAGATTATGCACTTTGAATTGATTTCCAATTTCACATATATGTATATATATAGTATGTGCAATGTAATGCAATCCTCCAGATTTTTCAAATGTAATTTTCTTATGTGACTTAGAAATTTTTTTTAATAAGTTGGCCGCCGGCCTAGCGCTAACTTTGTTAAATTTGTTTTCCGTAAATAATTAATGAAGGCATGCCCAGTGTGTTTGACGAGTATGAAGGACATGGCCTTTGGTTGTGGACACACGGTAAGCTCTGATGTGCGATCGAATCAATACTTAAAATTCTATATTTAGTTTGATTTGTTAAACTTGTTTTCTGCTTCTTGTGGACTGAGACTATATATATAACCCAAGAGTCAATGTATATTATCACAGACTTGCAGGGAATGTGGTGCAATAGTGTCTGACTGTCCAATTTGTCGCCAGCGAATAACCAGTCGTATTCGGCTATATATGTGACTCAAGGGATCATGTATGCATGTATAGATCGAGCTAGTTTATATTTTTTTGTCCCTTCTTTGCGGAGACTATTAGAGGTAAATCCACCTCTAATTCATAATAAATATTTTGATAGAAGAATTAGCTTATTTATAACGGTTTGAACAACGAAATCATAGTAAAGTGATTAATATATAGTATTTGATTGGTTGAATTATTGATTTATCACTTTTTTGAAATTTTAAAATATTATATCACATATATTATACGGAGTACTATATTGTAAAAATGGTTGTCACGTTATACTTACGAATGCGTACTAACTAATGAACAAGTAATTAAAAAGATGTCAATTTACTTTTCTTAACTCTTCCTATTATACCTATCATCGGCTCCATCAAACTGTACCACAGTGAATGAGGAAAATGTGTTCAAATCATTTATTTAATTGATTAAATTTACGAATTATTTCTCATTCTAAATTTAATTAAATGTAATTCCATACTTGCTAGTCTTGCTTATAGTATCATCAACTAATTGTGCATGAAAAATAAAAATGAAATAGCTAAGCAAGACAAGTTAGGCAATTAAAGTGAAAAATATTCATATTTCATTTTCATTGATTAAATTTAATCACCGGCATCTATTTCCATATCGAATATAAGAGACTTTTGCATGTATGAATTATATGTTTTATAAGAAAAATAAATTATCAAAATGTCAATACAATTTTGAATTTTTGTAATGCTGGCTAAATAGTTATACATGTTACATACGACTTTTAATTACGGAAGAAAATCAATTTGTGGGATTTGAGAAAATAAACTTAGAGAGAGATTTGTTCTTAATTGGCTAGACTAATTTTGTTAGACACAATAACAAAATAATCATGGCTCATGGTGGTTGCATCTATCAAGAATAAAAATTATGACCCGAGATTAAGTCAACATCTCAAAGTGAGGGGGTCTTGCTTCTGTGTTCAATTGGAGTTACCATGATATGCAAATTTTTTTGGGTACAATAATAAAAATTACGATTGTTTATTTATAAGTTTTATTTTTCTGGGAACAAGAATAACAATTATGATGGTATATTTATAAAATACGTGTATCTACTTATACTCATAACTTTTACTCTATATATAAAATTTTGATGTAGACATTTTGAGACCTACTTATCAAAACTCGCCACATGGAAGTAAAATTTGGAAATAACAATGTTTTGTACTCCTACTTTATAGGGGTGCTTAATATTTATCTCAAAATATGAACAAATTGAGATCGAAATAAAGTTTAATTATCAACCAATATTTGAAAGTGTTTGAAGTCTTTACATTTTAATGACTAATATACAATCTTATCAGAAAAAGTGTAAAATAAACTCATAAAGTGAAAAATCAATTAGATTTTTAAATTTTAAAAAATGTAACTACACACGTTAACATACTATATTGAGACAATGAAGTCAAAGAATCAATAAATAATATACTATTACATGCCATTTTGATTCCAACATTATCTCCGGTGACTGGTGATAGCTGAATTGTAGTCGATCTCCATCTCCGACGAAGGCGATCAATTGGTTGCCTTCTTCATAGGAGGCAATCAACTGATCGCCTTCGCTGGTAGATAGCGACCGACGACACCGTCGCCAACCACCGAATTTTCGTATAAAAATAATATCGAAATTAAAATAATATGTAATTGCTGTTGCATATTATTTATCAATTTTTAAATTTTATTAACTCAATATAACATGTGTAAATAATATAATTACACTTTTCAAAAATTTAGAGACTAAGGGGGGTGTATTCAATCATGACTTTCATAGAGTTTTAAAGACTCTTATGAACTTTAAAAGTTTGGAGGTATTCAATTCAAACTTTTAGAGAGACTTTAAAAGTCAGGCGGTATTCAATCAAGATTTTTAAAGTGTCTTTAAAAGTCGTGTGGTATTCGATTAAGACTTTTAAAGAGTCTTTAAAAGTCATGTGGTATTCAAAAAGTTATGAACTTTTGTAAACTTTTTAATTTTAAGACTTTTGTAGATTTTTCCTTCTCAAATATAAATAGTTAGAAATCCGACCATCAACCCCAAGATTTCAAATTTTCTTTCTAACAACTTTGAATGTTTTCTCTCTATTTAAACTCTATTTTTTCTCCCTATTTAAACTCTATAAATCTATCTAAATTCAATAAAATTATTTTTTTCTTCATTATCCTATATTTTTCTCATACCTAAACTCTACCAATTTTTCTCTCTCTCATAAACTTTAGAATCTTCATCTAAAAATTCGAAATAATATTATTTTTACTTCATTAATGCTTGTTTATATTGGTTTTTATTTTTTTTCTATGAATTTTTTATCACTAACTTTCTCTAATTCTCCCTAAATACATGAACAAAGCAAATTTTTCATCGTCAAATTTTAGTATATGTTTCATAATATTCATATAAATACTTATATATTTTGATTTTGATTATTTTTATGTTTATATTCGTAATATATATATATATATATATATATATATATATATATATATATATATAGGTTACTACGAATAGCGAATTACTGTTCGTAACAACAATTTGGAGTTGCAAACAGTAGCACCTTGTTGTTGTTTGCAGTCTCAAATTGCTATTGCAAATAATAGTTCTTTGCATGATGCCTAACAATATATCAAGGATAATTTTCTATATATTATTAATATTGGATTTTTATTTTTTTATTTTATGCCACTTGTAATTATATTTTTAAATATTTTATTTGATCAAGTCTTTTATTATAAATTTTATTATTCAATATTGTTATGAATTTCTAATGAAATAGTTTTTTTTTTTTTTTTTTTTTGTTGATGTTTATTAATAATATATATAAGCTAAGTAATTAACATATAAGTCTCAGCATACTATGGATAAAAATAATAACGTTGAAAATGTTGATGTGGGTGAAGAACTATATAATAAGAATAATTTTATGATATATTATAAATGTTTTGTAAGAAAATTGTAAATGATAAGAATCAAAATCATTGAAAGTTTGTAATGATATATTCAATTTAGAATTTCAATGACTTTTGTAGACTTTTTAAAATAAAAAGTTGATAAAAGTATATGAATGTTTTTTATATAGACTTTTATAGAGTCTTATAAAGTTTTAAAAAGTTTTGAACGACTCTATAAAAGTCAATCAAAGTTTATTAATATCTATCATTTTAAAAGTCTTTAAAACTCCACAAAAGTCATGATTGAATACACCACCTAAGTACTTTTTTTTGGTAAAATTTAGAGAGTTTCATTTTTCTCTGTCTTCCAAAAAATAAAATTGTCAATGAAGTCAATATTTCTTCTTGCGTGACATTTTGGGATTCCTCATTCCTCGCAAGCACTGAGAAAAATGGTTCAGCCAAGATGGAAGGAAGCTCTCGTCGCGGTAGTGATGATGTCAACGACTTTCTATTCTGAAGTGGTTGTGTGCAAGGAGATAGAGTCTCCGCAGTTCACGGTGCTGCACTCCGAGTCGGACTTCGAGGTTCGATTTTACAGGGAGTCGGTTTGGATGACTGCACACACTGATGAAATTTCTTTCGATAAAGCCACCCGAGATGGCTTTCACAGGTCCTTTTTTTTTTTTTTTGATATACTTATTATTATTATTTTTAAATTTTTTAATTAAAGCCCTCTGCTGAAGTATAAACAGTCGAATTTCTGGGGTATACTATATTCATATACTATATTCAATCTTCTTGTATTTTGAATCTGTCTTCGTGGTTTCTTGCCACTTTTCAGCGTGATAGATAATTGGTTGTGATTTCATTTACGGAGTATATATTTATAGTTTCATTGGAATTTCAACTAGTGCCACCTTCAGAAGCCAAGTGGAAGAGTAATACTTGAAAGGTTACAGACTGTAACTTACAGTTTTGTTCATGATCTCCTACATGGGCGTGTATTTGCTTCTGGGTCGGGGGGAACTCAAGCTAGTTATCATTCATTATTATTTTTCTGTTAGGTAGAAGTTCTTGAATATCACAATAGAAGTACTGCACTTACTAATGACACATTGAAGAAAGGGCCATCACCAATGTGAATGCCTTAATGTGTTGAAAGGAAATGAAACTAGTGACTCTGTAGACATGGTTTTTTTGATTTGCAAAGTGAGAAACCAGAAAGGAGATACAATATGTGAAGCTGGCAAATGGGAATTCAGAGAGTAAATCTATTGGAAAAATGATGCTCACTAAACTAAGGTAGCAAGTGCAGGATTTGCAGACTTTCATAGTTTATTGGGCATCAAAAGCTCTAGTTAGGTCCATTACTTTCTTCGGTAATGTGGTTATTAAAAGTTAATCTATCATGTCAATTTCAATGTTCTTCATCAATGTAGTGCATATGTTTTTTCCTCTCTTCGAAATGCATCCTTTTAGTGGAGCAGCCACATGCTTTGTTTTCCCCTTCTTCTTTTTCACCCCCACTTTCTATGGAGTTGTTGGACAAATACTCCGTATCATTTTTGCTATTTGATTTCCTCAGTTGAATAAGTCAAATATCCTATACTGGAGGTATCTTGAATGTAGGTAACACTTTTTACTTCAGTTGCTTCCTTTATATTAGTGGCAGACACTTTTTTGTTAAAATTATAAAACTAATGAAAACACATTATTTGGTTGGTTTTGTTTGTTTAAATTAGTATAGAGTTCAGTTTTTGGATTCACAAAAGATGTGGGAATACAGTCAGTTTCAGTAGGCAAGTATATTCCACTGTGCTTGATGGTGTGCGCTTAGTTCTTTCAATTGCCTGGGCAGTGGGTAACTGGATATACAAATTTTGCTTTTTCTTTTCATTGGTCTTTCGTTTATGTATTCTTTTTGTTTTCTCTTTAAAGTTGTCATGACTTTCCAGTGAACTTACCCATGACTTGATTACCAACTCCTCACTTTCCTCCCTCTTCTTAATTGTGAGTAGCCACATTTTGTCAAACTATATCATGGATGCTCATGCTATCCCTTTCCCTGAATCTATAATAATGGTTGAAGCCCACTGTACTCCTCTTGACATGCTTGTTCTAGTAGTTGCAGCAGTGCTGGCTCTAATCATGCAAAACAGCAAAATATATTTATTGTGTAAACAGTGAATTATATTTTAAATACTCCGCAGCTAGAAAGCTTAGTGTTGTAGTTCTAAAAGATTTTTATTGTTCTCACAGATTGTTCCAGTACATTGAAGGTGCAAATCTGAATTATTCTCGTATCTCAATGACGGTACCAGTCTTGACAAGCATTGTCCCTGGAGCTGGACCTCTTCACTCATCAGCATACTTTGTCAAATTATACTTGCCAGAGGAGTTCCAAGTTGAGCCACCATCTCCGCTTCCTGAACTGAACCTGCGACCTGATTCTTGGACCAGTCATTGCATTGCAGTTAGGAAGTTCTCTGGATTTGCAAGGGATCGCAACATTGTGAAAGAAGCTGAGAAACTGGCTCTCAGCTTGAGCAGGTCTCCATGGGCAAATTCCACTTCTGCAAGTGAATATGCTTACTCAATTGCACAGTACAATTCTCCTTTTAAAATCATTGGTCGGGTCAATGAAGTTTGGGTGGATGTTGGCGGGTCTGAAGCCAATGGTTGCAAGCCCGGGCTGGTGGCTGCATACTAAGGAGGGTGGCAAGCCAGCGGGCTGCAGGCGAGTGTGAATGCTTTGTCTGTTGTGGCTTTACTGTAAATAATTGTGTAATATTGTTGAACCATTGTGTAAGATGAACTTATAACACATCAGGTCATTAATGTGCATAGTGTTGGAATTTTTATTGAAACTCCTAATACTTTCTAAGGGTATGTTTGGAAACAAGGAAAATGTTTCATTTATATTCTTTAAACTCCTAATATGTATTAGGGACCAAGACTATGTGGTCTAATGGTACTCGGGTTGGACTTTCATTTGGAAGGTTGAGAAAGTATATGAACAGATACTATATTGTAATAGAGCCAGTAACATTCAAAAAAATATGTATTAGGGGTATTTATGTTTTTTAGAACATATTTTATTTATATTCTTTAAACCAACCAAATATTGGAATAATATTTTTAAAGTCTATTATTTCAGCAAACCAAACAATGGAATACAATTCGTATTTAATTTCTTGCCTATTTCATTGATTATGTAATAATATTCATATTCTCTTAAAATTCATTTCATGAACTAAATATATTGTGAATATTTTGGTTGTTATTGCGGATAAATAAACACTCCATAAATATTAACTCTAAATATTTTTTTTTCTTACTATCATTTGTTATGAACAGATATATTGTAATAGAGTCAATAACACTAAAAAAAAAAAAAAAAAAAAGTAATTGAAAAATTAATTAAGGCGTGTACGCCACGACGATACCTGGGAGATTAGGGAACGATGTTGATCTGACTTCAGGGGATTCCAATTCGGAACTTAACCCTGGTTTAATAAAAGGGATTTGGGTTCGATCATCCATTTCCCTTCTCTCCCCCTCTCTCTTCCTCACTCCGTCCTCCTGCGCCATTCCTCTATACAAACCGATACATATATACGCACCATATCCTCTCCTTCCCTCTCTCTTTCTCTCTCCCTCCCATATATACGTATATATTTATATATATAGATATAATTTATATGCATACGTGTTTGTTACTTTGTTGTCCTTTTCGAACAACTCACAGATCGGAGCTTTCGCAGATCCGGTTAATTTCCCTCTTCTCTCCGTGGTAAGATATCCTTGTAGTCTCGTGTTTATGTATTATCCGTGGTTGTATTTTTTTTTTTCTGGCATTTGAAACTTTGAATTTTAGGGTTTGGACAACGTCAGGTGATCGTATTCGAATTGTGTCTGGAGACTTTAGGTGTTTTTTGTGCTCAAAGAAGTTTGATATTGTCGCATCCGTAAAAGTAGTCTTCGTGTGTTTAGGCATTTGGTAACAGGTAGTCAGTACTGCCTTCTTCCTTTATTATCCAGTGGTATTAGTACACTTATTTTCGAGCTGCGGTTAGGAGAGGGCTAGTAAATTTGAGAATTATATCCATTATGCATTGTTATATGCAATTGGAGCTTTCACCTTGTTATGTAGTCATCAATGTAGACTTGGGAGTGTATTTGAAATTTATATGACTTGTGTGAATCTTTATGCATACTTCAATTTTAAGGTTTGCTATGTTTTTACATCCATCACATCATGCCATGTGGGTTGTTAATGAGGTTTGTTATAAGATGATTTGTTGTGTGGTGTTTGAAGTGAAGTTTGTTGGAGGAATGCACTATTTTAAGAGTTTGAAGGTGAACTTAGCTAGCTTACTAGAAATAGAGTAACTTATGCAATCATTCATAATAAATCATAGCGGGTTTAACAAATCGAGTGTCTGTTGTGAATTATATGCTCAGAGGCTTTTGTCTGAATGCTCGGGCTGAGCATTATTTGAATGTATGGTCATAATTTGAACACTATGAAGTATGATCATGTGCATTTGTGGAACAGGTAGTACTCATCAACACACAAACACTCAAGAATTTATATGCATATGGTATTTCTGCATTTGCAGCATACTTGTAGTGTTAGAACTTAGAAACATGGTAAACCAATGATAAGTTTCATATTTGTTTCTCTTAAACAAGGAGAGTGAAATGCTGACATGTCTTTACTTGTAAAATGGAAAGCAAATAGTGGTTTTGTTGATATATTGATGATCTTTGGTACTTGAGCCAGTTTCATTAGACACTTATATGAGCTATTTAGTCATTCTTGCGCTTAGCTTGACAACGCTGTGAACTGCTTTGCTTAATTTCTTCTTGCTCTACTGACTCTGATTACTTTTATTGCTCACTACCACTGTGACAAGCGATTTTAACTGTTTTTTCTTATTGAGCTATAGGTTTTAATAACGTATATATTTGGAAACTGGTGAAATAGAGTCAGACTTTTTAATGCTTGTTAATTGAAGTGTGAGACAGAGTTTATACTGTTACAACTAAATTACAATTAAGCATTAAAAAAGGAAACTATTTGGACACATTGATAAGGTAGTAGTAGACTGTAGTATCGTTTGTTTTTTTTTTTTAATAAGATAAATTGTAGTATGTTGTGATTTTTTACTAGTATTTTTTGTGATATTAACTTAGTATGTAAAGTGTGTTCATATGATTCTATGGAGCTATTGGTTGTACTTTTTGCTTATCAGATATGTTTTCACACTTTAAAAAGTGAGAAATCAGAAGTTTGTACATGAAGTGAGAGGTGAGCTAGTTGACCAGGTTAGGCTTGGCATAAGCTGTGTTCAAAATGAGCTCAAGTGAGATCAAACATTATCTTGTTCTAATCTCCACATATCAGATACTAGGTAGCAGGACTAGATCTTTCCACATATTTTTCTTTGCCATTGGAGAGAATATTTTCCTTTTACTTCACATAGGATCATTATTGAGAGGCCTTACTAGTTTGTTGAGGATTGTTCTCATGTGTATTTGAAAAATGTTTGCTTGCAATTTCTTTGGCAGAATTTCTTCATTTTTCTCTAGATGAGTTGCTGCTTTTATAGTCTCTTTCATGTGATTGTATTTTAATCCTGTTTCAAATTTGCAGGATTTAAGGTTGTAGTTTGGATGACATTAGATCTATATATTAGCAATGACTTCAAGTATGTTAACTGGGGAGCGAAGGTAATAATAATTCTTATTCTGAATCTCTGTCATTCATTTTTCTTTTCAAATGAAATGAGAATTCTTCCTGTTCATTTTACTGTTTTCTGAACCTTTCCTGCTGTAACATGATGTGGATTCATGCCAATGTAGTTCTAGGCTTTAATACCTCAAAATTTATGTTGACAAGGAGATGTAATTGATTTTCTAGCTGTGGAAAATGAGACAAATCTGAAATATGGAAAATCGTGAAGGTGAGAAGGTCATATATTCCGAGTTTGGAATGAGATTTTAGAATTTCCTTGGAGCTATTCCAGTAAATGGGCATATAGGCTGAGGGCTTGTTTGGTAAATGGCGGTCCGCCACTTTGGCATTTTGACCAAGGTCAAAAGAAGATTTTTGGTTATTCAGCGGTTTGCTCCAAACCGCTGAAAACTAAAACGCTGCTGCCCCTCAATAATGTTTGCCTATCAATGGATGGGCATGCAAATTTAAGGAGCCTTGAGGCTCCAAATCCTCCAATCCGACTTTTCCCACCAATGTGGGAAAAGCGGGAAAACAAAGGGCTCCCCTAATTATTATTATTATTATGTTTTTAATGAAATATATGTATACCCTTATAGGTCATTTTAAATGTTAACTGCTAATCTAAACAACTAATTTTACCAAACATCTCTTTACAAATTACTGATACAATTCGTTGGTCAAAACCGCTAACACAATTCACTATCCGCTAACGCCAATTGCCAAACAAGGCCTAAATATTAAATTACTTTACTTTCATTCATCATGAGCTCTAGTGTTATTGCCAATGACATTACTTTTTGATGGAGAACAATATGAGAAAATGATAAACGTTTGAGCAAGACTAATAAGGCACTAATTCAAGATGAAAATGAAGATGGAAAGTAACCAATCAATCAATCATCAGATTTGCATGTCACAAATGGTGCATAATTCATGGGATTGGAGCAGAAAATTAGGGGAAGACAAATCAGATAAATTATGCTATTTACTTATTTATTCATTGTATTAGTTTATGGGGGCGTTTGACAATTGGCTGATAGCTTATTGTGTTAGTTGGTTTGGCCAGCTGATAGTATTAGCTGATTATAGAATGGTGTTTGGTAAATTAGTTGTTTACTCTTAGCTGATTACATGTAAAATGACATATAAGGGCATAAGTATATTGTGTTATTTACTTAACTCTTAATTATACTTTATTGTTATCGTTGTGTTATTATTAATTATTTTTAACTATTATTTTTTGTTTTATTATTAATGCTGTTATAATTATAAAGAAATGCTTCGTAGTTAATAATAATTCAACATATCGGTTAACACACACACACACACACAAACACGCATGTCTGTGTGTGTGTCTTAGGCAAAGAGTCAATTTAGATGTCGGGCTCTAGGCCGTTATGATGATATTAAAAATGTAAATTTGAATAAAAATTGAATAAATATAAACACCACAATAGCCAACAACTATTAAGGGTAAATTTGATTTTTAAAACGAAAATGTAATAAGTTGATATCAATAAGTTACTCAAACTCTCAAAGTGGCTTTTTCATTTTCAGCTTATTGGCATCAATAACCAAAAAAGCTGTTTACCAAACATTCATATTAGCTGGTTGACCAGTCAAACACGCTAAAGTTGGTCTGACAAGCTAGACTTCGGTTGATAATCCATTTTCCAAACACCCCCTATAAATAAGGAGCCTCCCTTAGAGTGAGGGCATGACGTATTGGTTAGAAAATATTAGCTATTGCAGCTAGGTAAGAGCTAGTGTGGTTTAGTGACAACCCTGTTCGTTCACATTCCATAAAAGCATTTCCGCTTTCTTTTCCCATTTCCTGCTTTTTTATTCTAACAAGGACCTTGTTACTTGTAGGTTTGTTTTAAAACCACTGCCTAAAGCATCCTATGATTTGAGTTTATAGAGTTACATAGTGTATATTTGTATAATTGTATCTATTTGTGTCTATACCTTGAATTATCTCTTTGATACTAAGCAAACTGAATATTTCAAGGAAATATTTCTTTTCTCCTACTAGAAGTATTAAGATAAGTGTTTGTTTGGCTCATGGGTCTACTCTTAGGCCTTAATGATTTTCTTTATAATTATTTAGGATTTAGGATGAAT